CAGAACGGGGCGCAGGCAAGCCCCCTGGAGCAGCCTCCACAGCCACATGTAGCCATTCACGGGGTGTGGGGGGATCCAGGGACCTGGCATGAGACCAGAGCTTCAGAGTCTGGGCGGCCGGCAGCCCTGTTGCACTCCCCGAGGACGTCCAGTACTTGGACATCAGCAGATGAGCTGTCTTCTTATTTTCCGCGTTGTGGACTGCACGCCCATGGATGCCGCGAAGCTCGGTGCCTGGCTGCCTCAGGGTAAGTCGGCAGCCAGAGGCCTGGGGCTTCCTGGAGTCTCCGCCCTGGAGCCTGATGCCTGCTTCCCACCAAGCACTTTCAAGCATGTTCCTTGCCACACCCTGAAACGCAGCACCTGCCTGGGGTTGTTTTAAGCACTTGGTGTGAGTGCTTAGAGGGGGCTGATGCCCATGCCCACCCGAGGCCTTGTGGGGGTGCTCCCAGAGGAGGAGGGACGCAGTGTGTTCCCAGGGGAGTGGGCCCCCCTCCGTGGCAAGGCGGCCACTCTGCGGGAGCTCTGGGTAAGGGCTCGTGGGAGGTGATAGTTGGACTCAGCCATCGATCCTTGGCCTTTGAGGCATGAATAGGAGTTTTCTGGGTAGAGAAGAAGTAAGGGCTGGCCTGGCTGATGAGCCAGCGCACACAGGCGAACAGGATATTTGGGTGACGCCAGCAGGTCATTCTGGTGGGGGCCCTGGGGTGGCTATCCGTCAACCGAAAACTGCCTTGGCTGGTGGCCGTGGGCTGGCTGCAAGGGCTCTGTCTGCCAGGGCTGCCGTGCCCCCTGCACACGTGTGCCTGCCCCGTGGGTCTTGAGTCCCCCTGTGTCCTGGGTCTCTCTTGCAGTAGCGTTCTCTTCTAGCCCAACATGCACCCCCAGTCTGTTTCCTATTTCTTTTTTTTTTTTTTTTAAGGGCTTCCTGTCTGATTACAAAGGGCACAGGAGGTTTCCTTTCAGTTCTTTAGCTGGTCATGAAACTGGGGCTTGGCCGGCGACCAGCCTTTCTCCACATGCCGCGGTGACTTCCTTCTGGGTTGCAGATGTGACTCGTTTGTGTCTTGCAAAAGGTTTTGATGTGAAAGCAAGCGAGTTACTAAAATAGCTCAGCGGGCTGGAGGCAGCGGGCCCGGGCGGAGCAGCCTGTGGTGCTCAGCGCTGGCATCCGGGATCCCACCTGCTGTGCTGTGTCAGTTGCAGCTTCGCCTCTGGACATCGCTTGTCGGCTTTGCAGGACACAGGGCAGTGGGTTCGGGCCACGGGAGATAAAGGAAGATGGGCCTTGGGCGGTCCCTCCGGTTGAGCAGAGTGGCTAGTAAGCGCCTGCTGTGTGCGGGCCGTGGGCTAGACTCGGACAAGGAAGACGTGGAATCCAGCCTCCCTGAGCCAGAAGAGGCTGGCAGGGTCTGGGGTACAGGAAAGACGCCTTCGGAGGCGTGAGGTCAAACCTGTTTTATTTTTGTAGCGTTTATTTCTGTGTGTATGAGAGACAATCTAGCCCCTTGAGCCTGTGATTTTGTGAGTATTATTGCTTAGAATAAGGCTGAAGTCGTCGTTAACTTTTTAAACATCAGTGGTTTTAAAGAAAATATGAAGCAAATACAGGTGCATTGTGAGGGAGAGCGAGGGGCTGTTTTGGGGTCCCTGCGTGTCCTCCATTTTGATTGCCCGGGCGCTGAGCTGCGGATTTAGTGTCCTCTAGACCTCGCGACTCGGCTGCAGCAGTGAGTTATGCAAGCACGCAGAAATCACAGCAGCTCCGGCGCGGTGACCGAGGCTGGGAAACACTGTCCAGTCCAACTGCCCACTCTCTGGAGTATGAAGTTGCAGTTCAGAGAGGGCGAGATGCGGCCCACGCTCACAATGCGAGTCGAAGGAAAAATGGGGTTCGAAATCGAGGGCTGGGGGTGCCCTGGAGGTTCAGGGCTCCCGTTCTACCCTGATCAAGCCCTGTGTTAACAGGGGGCCGGGCGCCCCTAGTCTGCAGCTGCACCCTGTGGCCGGGGCATCTGTGTGGAGCAGGTGCAGGGAGGCCTGGGCGGGCTCTGTGGCTCCTGCCGGGATTTGCCTCCTGGCTGTCAAGGTGGATGCATGTGGATGTGGCTCAACAGGAGCTCAGTCTGTCCTACATCAGCAGGTGGGCGGGTGGCTGCCTGCCCTGGGGAAGACCCTGAAGACCCCGCTGCAATAATGAGGCGTCATACTTCAAGGTGAAAGACCCAGAATGGCTTGGCATTGCGCAGAGTCAGGCGTCCGCGCGGGGCTGGCCTGCTCTCCTGGACACTTGGGCTTCTGTCCTAGGACATCTCGGCGTGCACAGCCGAGGCGGCAGGTGGGGTGAGCAGGGGTGTGGGAAAACTGCCTTGGCTGGTGGCCGTGGGCTGGCTCCAAGGGCTCTGTCTGCCAGGGCTGCTGTGGCCCCTGCACACATGTGCCTCCAGAGAGGGCGAAAGCCGGGCCTGGGGGTAAGGAACCGGCATTGAGGCTGCAGGGCCAGAGTCAGTTTTGGGGCTTTGCTGTCCTTTGGGGGTGTTGGGCAGTGCTATTCCAGGCTGGCACCTGGCACCCCCGTAGGTGGTCACAGCGTGTCGGGGCCGGCAGTGGTCACAGGGGAATTAGTCACAACTAGTCACGGCCACACCGGCTCGGTTCAGGGGACAGCTCGTTCCTTCTGTGCACAGCCTGGGGGAGACCTGCCTCTCAGGAGCGTGCCCTGGGCTTCAGCCGCAGAGCCGGCGTGTTCCCCCATGTGGCGGCCAAAGGGGGGGCTTCGATGGGCGTGTGGATCCGGGTTCTCTCTTCCATGCATGCCCTGGGCAGCTCCGTTGAGAGACCTGTGCTTTCAGAAATGCTTGTGAAAAGATTTGCTTCCTACCAGCTTCACCAGGGCAACTCTCTGGGCCCAGATGGAGTCTGTGGGGTTCTAGAGAGGCAGGCGCGGGTGTGGCCGGCCTGTCCATCAAGAGGGGGTGGAGGCAGGCCTGGGAGGGACCTGGGAGTGGGGCTGGCACGTGGTCTGCTCCTGGACACGGACACCACCCTGTGGGGCGTCCCTGCAGCGTCAGGCCGGGGCGGGGCGGGGATGCAGGCAGGAGGAGCCGCAGACGCTGCCCTTGAATTCCCGGCACAGTAGCGAAGGCTTTAGGCAGGAGAGCTCGGAATGGTGGGTCCTGCTTCCCAGTCCGTGGTCTTGGGCAGGCCACTTAATTCCTCTGGGTCACTTTCCCCTTCTCTAAAGTGGGGTGGGTAGGGAGGTAGCAGCATTGCTGCAAAGAACCCCGGCGCAGGCTGGGCTGGGGCCCACGGGAGCGCAGGGTGCGCCTGCACCTGGCTGCTCCTTCCCTCCTGATGTGCTGGAGTGTTCCTGCCGAGAGAAGCAGATGTTGGCCCTGGGGGGTTGGGGCATAGGTGGGCGGAGACCTGGGAGGAGGGAAGGGGGTGCGGGCACGGGAGCAGGGGTGCAGAGGGGCAGAGGCTTGGGGGACCGGTCAGCGGGACTGTCCTGCAGTGTCTCACCGCTGGCCGGTGCTGTCCCGGGGGCCCCGAGGCCGGCTGCGGAGGCGTCCAACCCCATCTTCCCCAGCCGGGACAAATGAGGATCCGCCCCGTGCTGGTGGGAGGCGGGAGGTGCGGCCCAGCCCACCCCGCTCCCCGGGAGCCTGGAGGCTGGTGGGGGGGAAATAATCCCCGTAGCTAGAAAGAGAACTTGATTTAATCTGGGCTTGGTGAGGAAGAGAAACACTGAATGTGAGTCAGGGACATTTCGCCCTGTTTTTTCATCTTCGGAGGAGACATGGAGGGAGGGTCCTCTCCGTGGAGCCCAAGATGGAGACCCAGGTCTGGTTTCCCAGCCTGGACCCGGCATTTCTGGCCCGGGCGGCCTGGGGCCGCGTCGCCGGATCCCGCTGAGCCCGTGTCCGTGTCCGCCTGTCAGCGCGAGAGCCGCTCTCAGACGCGGGACTCGAGGGTCGAGGGCAGCGGCCCCGCAGAAAGGCCCGGGCGGGACGCCCACTCCCGGGGAGAAGGCGAGACGTGGGGGTGGGGCTGTCAATTAATTTGTCTTCTTTTCTGAACCCCTCAACTTTAAAAAAAATTGTAAATTAGCATTTTATACTCAGGATCTGAGTCTAACGAGCAACCCGGCCAAGCAGTCCGCTCAGGGGGCCTTGGCCTCTGCAGACCAGCCCGGTGCCCGCGGAGGCTGGCGAGCAGGGGCGGCCAGCCTGCTCGGAGCCTTGAGCCGCCCCACGCTGCGGGGAGGGAGGGAGACCCCTGCGCGGTGCCTTTGCACGGCCTCCCGCTGCACAGGCCGGGCGCCGGCTGTCGTCTTGGGGCCTGCCACCCGGCTCTGGGGTCGCCGGCCCGGGGTGCGCAGCCCACGCCGTGCTGTCCTGCTGTGTGTTCCTGGGCCAGCTGTGTGGCCTCTTGGGGCTCCCCCCACTCCAGACTTGCCTGTTCAAGGGCGGCGTGCATCACAATGATCGGGAGGGCCTGCTGAGACTCACAGGCTGGGGCCGCTCCAGCTTTGATTCTCTGGGCCCCAGTGGGGTTCAGAGAACTTGAAATCCTAATAAGGCACCTAGAGGTGCTGACGCTTACTGACCCAAGCCCCACCCTCGGAGCACTGCTAGGATTACTGATAATTTTTAGAACGTTGCCGCTGTCACCCCGTATTGGTGAGCTCTACTCCCTGAGAGAGCAGAAGAGGAGACTCATCTACTGGATTCTGTTAAATCTCTTCTGAGAACTAAAGCCACACGCATTTATGCATCTGTAAAAACGCGAGCTGTCAGCCAGTGACGGCCTGTCTCTGAGAAAGCCGCAGCAAAGCACTGAGTCAAGCTAAGTCTCTCACGGGGCTTGGTGAGACTTGGGGTTGGGGATGGGGTGTCACCTGGACCCGACTCCTCCCCTCCGTCCTGTGTGGTGTCTGGTCTTGCGGGGAGCGGGGGGAAGGGGTGATGGCATCCCTGGGACGTGCGTTTAACAGGCACGTGCCAGCTGCCTTTACTCAGGGTGAGGCGCCGAGCCAGGCTCTCGGGGAGCGGAGGGGAAGGCAGTGCCAGGCTGATGGGGGAGCCAGGCAGAGCCAGCACAGCACCACGGGGCTGTGAGGAAGGGAAGCTGGGGCCGGAGGCCCCGGCCATCCCCGGGAAATGGCATCAGCGAAAGGTTCTCCCCGAGGTGATGCCCGGCTGGATTCCACAGAAGATGGGTGGTTGGGAAAGAGGGAGGGCATTCCAGGAGGCGGCTGTCAGCTCAGTTTGGGGAGGCGCTGCCGCATTCACGAAGGCCCACGTCAGGGCCAGTTCACCTGCTCCGCGCAGGCCCACCGGGCTCTTCTCCAGCAGGTGACGCGGGGATCCAGCCCCCACTTGGTGGTGCCACTCCCAGCACGTGGCTCCTGAGGTCTCGCAGCCCAGGAGAGAGGAGTCACAGGGGCTGTTAGGTCTGATGCCCAGCGTGGGGCCTGCCTGAAGGTCACCTCTTGCTGAACCAGCGACATAATGACCCGGTTGGCTGGTGAGCTCCTCTCTGCGCACAGCTGTGCCCCCTTGGACAAGGCACAGTCTTGTTTATGCAGTACGTTGAGTGCTATTTAATGCCCTGCTAGGAAGGAGACAGGCGGGCCCTGCTTGTCCGCAGCCCACACCCTGTGCAGGGGCCACAGCAGAAACAGGCAAGTCTGGTGCTCGCATGGAGAGCAGTTAAGAAGGCAGAGCAGGGCAAGGGAACCGGAGACCAGGGCCGGGCTGGGGTGGCACCGGGTGCGGCCTGCGTGCTCTCTGCCCCCAGGTGTGGACCTCGGCCAGGACAATACTCGTCCCTCCTTTCAGCCAGGCCGGGCGCTGGCGCCCCACCTCTATGCCTCAGTTTGCTCACCCATGGCCCTGAGCCCCATCACCTACCTGCTAGGGTGGTTGTGCTCATCAGTGAGAGGTGGTACAGGCACAGCATCCCGGTGGCAGAGGTACTAAGCTGTCACTCCAGGCTTATTTTAAGGCTTTGGTTGTGGACTGTGTGGACAGTCCTACCTTCAAGGAGGGCTTGATAGTCTGGGGGTCCCGCAGAGGAATGTGCGTGCCAGAGGGCCCAATAGCATAACAGGGCACCCCGTGTACCTGGTGACCAGCCCAGGCCTAGCCAGGCAGGCACAGGGGCCTGGAGGGACCGCAGGGGCCTTGCTGGCTCAGAGATCGCAGCTCAGAGTGCCCGGTACTGAGCTGTCTGGGGGTGGGGCGGTGGTGGCAGCACCAGCCTTTGTGGAATCCAGGAGCTGCTTTTCAAAGTATGTCCTCAGACTTCGCTGCAGAGCCAGCTGGAGGGGGGCTGGGGCTCCAGATTCCCTGCCCCCGCGTCATGCTCGTGTTCCCCAGGGAACAGGCACAGGTGCCAGCCCCTGACCCTGCGCACCTCAGCGCGTGGGCTGCCCGGTGCTGCAGTCTCATCTGCGGGACAGGATGCAGCAGCCAGGAGGGGCCGCCTGGCTGTCACTGGCGCTTGTGAGAAGCAAGTCTCTTCTCCGGAGGGGGCAGGACTCTGCACCCTAACACTCTCCATGTGACAGAGGCAGCTCCCACTGAGAAGTGTGGGGGCAACGTTGGGAGTGGGGGACCTCCTCGGGTGAGCCGGCAGCAGGCCCAGGAGGCCTCAGCAAGAGCTGGCTGCCGCTGAACTCAAGGGCCCCAGCAAGGGGCCAGACTCCCCACGGCCCCACTAACCCCGCTTCCCTCCTGCCCCAGGGTCCCGAGTGATGGTGGTTTCCCAGGACAAGCAGACCCCGGGGAGCCTCGTGAGCGCGGCGGAGCCGGCGGCGGCCGCGGGCAGCCTGGCGTGAACCTGGGCCTCGGCGTCTCACCTGAGAGGAGGCAGCATGTCTAAGAAAAGCCGGAGCAAGGGCGAGAAGCCCGAGATGGAGACGGACCCGGTGCAGATGGCCAACGAGGAGCTGCGGGCCAAGCTGACCAGCATTCAGATCGAGTTCCAGCAGGAGAAGAGCAAGGTGGGGGCTGGGCTCCCCAGCAGACTTGACCGGGCAGGGCTGGGTGGACACTGGCCCTCTCCGAGCCTCAGCTTGACCTTCATCAAAATGGGTGTCACATCAGCAGGGCACCCCGCCCCTGGGTGCAGCCCCGTGTCCCTGGGACCGTGGCCAGCTACTTGTATCAGCGCTGCGGTTTCTCTCCCTTGGGGTGGGTGGGCTTCGGGTCTCTGGCTGGTCTTTGAACGTCTTTCCACGACACTGTCGAGGAGGAGCAGCCCCAGGCGGCGGGGATGGGACGGTTTCTCTGAGAGTCTCTGAGAATCGATCTCTTAGGCCTGGGGGCTGGGGCGGCCCCTGCTGTAGGCCTCGCGCCCGGGAGCCTGCTCTGTGGCCGGTCTGTCTGGCGCCTGTGGGACGGGCCTGGTCTTCGCAGCAGGCCAGGCAGGGGCTGGTGGGCAGTTAAAGGGCAGCTGTGACGGCAGCTTCTCACCTGCGGACCTGGCTTCACACCTCACCTGGGACAGGTGCACAAAGTCTCCAAACACCTGCTTTCTCTTCTCTGACGTGGCCCGTGGGGTCCCAGCCCAAGCTGCCCCCAGGCACCTCCCTGCCCCGCCCAGAGGCTGTTTGCTGGGGGCACCGCCCTCGGGCCCTCTCCAGGGCTCCGCCTGGGGCAGGCAGGAGAATTTCATTCTCAGGGAATTCAGCAAAGTGCTTATTGGCTGGTGTGAAAGGCCTAAATATAAACTTTACGGTTGCATTTAAATGTTATTAAAAGTAACCTAAGCTCATGCTAATTGTTGTTTCACGTTGCAAGGAGTGCTGTTTCAGCAAGGGTCCCCGGTGGGCGCCAGGGTGAGGGCAGGCAGCATCCGTGCCCCACACGCTGGTGCTGGTGCCATCTCTGCTGACCGCCTCTGCCCTGCCAGGAGCACACCCGGTACCCCCAGGCTGCCCTGCACACACGCCCCCCTGCACTGTGCACATCCTGGAGGCCCCTCGACCTGGGACCACGATCCCAGAGCCCGACTCAACTCTCCTCCTGCCAGCTGTCCTTACAGGGCTGCTGCTGCCATTCTCCTTCCACGGGAGAGGAAGAGAAAGCTCCGGAAGGCTGTATAATCAGGGTGCTTCAGGGAGAAACAGAGCCAATGGCTAGATCTACCTTTCTGTCTGTCTGTCCATCCATCCATCCATCCACTACTATCATCTGTCTCTACCAAGAACAGATGGAAAGGTTTTTGTTTTTAAGATTTATTTATTTATGCACACAAGAGCTGGGGTACAGACCAGAGATGCGGGGGATGAGAGAATTCACCAGAGACAGAGCGGGGAGCAGAACAGGCAGACGGACTGAAATGCACTGCTGAGGGGAGCAGCGGGTGAGTCAGGAGAGGTCTGAGCACCATGTGGGTAGCTCCCTGGCCGGGGATCAAACTCGTGCTCCACTGGCTACGGATGGCTTCATAGGTTGTGTCTTAACCCCTTGAACCACCAGGGAGGCCCCAAAAGGGGGGTTTTAAGCAGCTGGCGCACGTGGTCCTGGAGGCTGACGTAGCTGAAATTTGCAGAGCAGCCACTGGAAATTCTCGCGAGTGGGTCATGCAGTCTGGAGTCTGGAGGCGCCTGGAGGCAGAGTCCCTCCCCACTGGGGAACGCGGGCCTTTCTTGGGGCTTCGACTGGCAGGTGTGACCCCTTCGTGGCCAGTGCCCTGCCTTCTCATTAAGCACATCTCAAGAAAAAAATACCCTCACGGCAACTCCTGTACTGGGGTTTGACCAAACCAGGCCAGCATTTAGACCGGCAGGGGCCTGCCCGGCCGCAGACCGCTGACCTCTGGGGGACGTGGCTGGCCAGGACGTGCACTCAACGTTGCAGACGGGGGCACGACCAGGTCCTTCCACCTGACTCCAAGTCACTGTCAACCATAGAAAGTTGGGGTGCTGCTGGTCCTAGAAAGGGGGGTGCCAGAGCATTTAGCCCTTCACTGGAGAAATCATGTCAAATATTCAAGCTCTCGTTTCCCGGCGCTCAGGACCCCAGGAGAAGCCCCTCACCCAGCCCGGGGGCCGGGCGGGCCTGAGGCGGACCGCTCATTTTATTGTTTTTTACAACTATGGCCTCTTTTGTTATCCTGCGTGGGAAACAAATTCTTGCTCTGTAAAAGGTATGGTGTTTTCTTACAAAACTATAAGATAACTCCTTTTCGGCCAGATAGCAATAGGCCCATTCTCTTATATTGCAGGCATCAGATTACCCAAGAAATAAATTGTTTTGCATGTTTCAGGCAATACAGTCATAACCCTTGAACTACAGAGGCCAGGTAGTCTGCATTTTGATTTATGATTTTTTAATTAATTTTATTTTTTTAAAGATTTATATTTTTTTTTTAGTTTATGTATGCATACAAGAGCTGGGGTGCAGGCCAGAGGCGCCTACACCAGAAGCGGAGTGGGGAGCAGAGCAGGTGCTCCCCTGAGATCCACGGCTGAGGGGAGCTGTGGGGAGACAGGAGAGGTGTGCTCATTGTATTTCTGTGATTTCAGTGTTTGCTGCAAGGAGATGTTGGTTTGTGTCTCTGACTGGGTTGCTTTTATTTGCTTCTTTCCTTGCTGTCGTAAGTAAGGGTTTATGCACGCCCAGCTGAGCCCTAAAACTCCCCTGAAATGAATTTCAGTGCGTTGCAGGCGCTGTGCAGTGTGGGCCACTGGAGGACTTTTCCGTGGGAGCCGCCGGCCCGTGAGAGACCGTTTGTCTCGGTTCTTGGGAGGCTGGTGTGATGCACAACACACTTGGGTTGGGCGGGGTTCCCTTGACGTCTCTGCACCACGGGACACTCGAAATGAAAAGGTTGAATAAAACATTTTATAGTGTTTTAAGTAAACACTCCCTTGGCGCAGTGTACAAATACTCTTGCAAGTCGCTTGCTGATTAGAGGGAGACACGGTGCGGCCGGCGGCCTGGTGCCAGTGGGACCAGGGTGGGAGCCCCCAGGGTGGGAGCGCCTTTGGCAAAGCAGTCACCCTCTCCTGGGGCTGCCAGAGGTTAATGTGGGGGTGCCCTGGAGCCCCTGTCTACTGGGGCCCCAGCTCAACACTGATGCCCCCCCTTGTCCTTCCAGAACCCCACGTCTAGGCATCGGAAACATATTCCGGGCTTAAAGTGTGTTCAGCTTTGGTGAGAGATGATTTCTGGGCATGTTTCGTGGCTGATGAAGGGCCCTTCCTCACCAGTCTCCAGACTGGAAGGGCCGGCAGACCTGCCTCGCCGCCCCACGCCTCCAGATGTTTTCCCAGTCTGGGGAAAATCCCAGGAATAGTGGAGTATTCTGGGTGGGGCTGCTGAGGGTCTGGGCTGGGGCGGCAGCAGCTGGTGGAGCGGGCACAGGACCTGGGGTGGTCTCGGGCAGTGGGGGGAAGGAACGGCGCGCACCCAGCACCCCGACCCTGACCGGCCACTCCCCGCAGGTGGGCAAGCTGCGCGAGCGGCTGCAGGAGACCAAGCTGGAGCGCGAGCAGGAGCAGCGGCGGCACACGGCCTACATCTCGGAGCTCAAGGCCAAGCTGCACGAGGAGAAGACCAAAGAGCTGCAGGCGCTGCGCGAGGCGCTCATCCGGCAGCACGAGCAGGAGGCGGCGCGCACGGCCAAGATCAAGGAGGGCGAGCTGCAGCGGCTGCAGGCCACGCTGAATGTGCTGCGCGACGGCGCGGCCGACAAGGTCAAGACAGCGCTGCTGACTGAGGCGCGCGAGGAGGCGCGCAGGACCTTTGATGGCGAGCGCCTCCGCCTGCAGCAGGAGATCCTGGAGCTCAAGGCGGCGCGCAAGCAGGCGGAGGAGGCGCTCAGCAACTGCATGCAGGCCGACAAGACCAAGGCGGCCGACCTGCGCGCCGCCTACCAGGCGCACCAGGACGAGGTGCACCGCATCAAACGCGAGTGCGAGCGTGACATCCGCAGGCTGGTAGGTGCCGCCCTCCTGCCCGCATTGGCGCCCTGTGCCGCCAGCACGCACGTGCAGTGACCGCGCCCTGAGGCCCTGCAGTGTTCCAGACGTCTTACCTGGCACTGGGGGCCGGCAGGGCATCTGCTGCCGAGGTGTGGTGAGGAGGCTGGTGGGGCAGGTCCCCGGTCTCCCCCCAGCAGGTGTCTGATCCCTGGCGCACCAGCCAGCCACCTGTAAATGAGGTCAGGGCGATGAGCAGGGGCCTTGTAAGAAGAGGGGAAAGCCAAGGGCATATGCGGGGCAGACTCTCCCCCAGGTGGGGCGCGGCAGGTCCGGACAGGCCAGCGCCCAGGGTCCCTGGCTGCGCGCTCGCGGCTGCCTGCGAGCAGCAAGCTGCTCTTGCAGGGGTTGCTGGGCTGTTTGCCGTCATCTTTGGTTTCTCTCTGTCAAAAGGCCCTGGAGCGGACAGAGGCCCGGGCGGGACAAGCCCTCCGCTGAGTACTCACCCACCCGAGCTCTAGCCAGAGCTCCAGCTCTGAGGCACTGGGGCTACAAGGAAATAGGACGTGGCCCTTTGGACTGCCTGGCAGTGAGCCAGGCCACAGGCCGTGAACCCCAACGACAGCGTGGGGGCAGGTCAGCCTCAGAGCTACACAAGTCAAAGAGCAGGTGGTAGCACTGGGGTGTGGACCCTGGAATTATTTCACAGAGGCAGTGAGATCTGAGCTGGGTTTTGAGGACCGACGGGAATTTGCCAGGAAACGGGGGGGCATTCTGTGCAGGGAAACCCAGCAGGTGAGGGGTTGGGGGGCTCTTGCTGCAGACCAACACGGTGCGGTGATGCTTCATGCTCAGATCCCCAGTAAAATAGCAGAGACACGGCAGGGCCTGCTGTTGTCCGGTCTGGGAGACGTCATTTCCTCCCCTTAGCAGAGCCGGTTGAGCAGAAGCATCACGGGAGTAACTGCGGCTCCCAGACACCTGCGTTTGGCGCGCACGTCTCTGACGTCTGCCCACGTGGCTGCGAGCAGGGTGCCTGCACCTACTTAGCAGTGCTTCCCATGCCGCCGCGAGTCCACCCTCTCTAGCCCCCATGCAAGGTCCACTCTAGGCCCGTGTAGTGCCCCCGTGACATCTGCACATCTCAGGGGCCTCGGGATGCGTGTCTCGGGACGTCCCCCACCCTAAGCGGTCGTGACCGTGCTGCCTCTAGCTGCAGCCGAGGACACGCTCAGAAGGGCCATGTCCCCCGAGGCCCACGCTGCGCACTAGGGCCCTCTGTGCAGGGTCGCGACGCCCGGCGCTCTGCTGATACTCTGTCTCTCGCTGTGCACCACATGAAACTTCCTCCATGGTTTGAAACTGCCTCTGGCCAGCCCTGCGGGGCCCCGAGGAGGAGGCCTGGACGTGTGGCCATGGGGCGGCAGGGCCCGGCCGAGCGGGGGGTCACGTCCCACAGCCACTGTGGAGCTTCCCGTCCTTCTCTGCTTTCTGTGGACATGTTCATTGGCAGAAAGTGGCTCTTGGCCCGCGACCTCATCTGGGGGATGGGAGCAGGCTAGGGAAGGCGGGCGGCTCCCAGGAGCAGCGTGCCCGTGCCCTGGCTGGCAGCTTACTCACTGCCAGCGCCAGGCTCCCCGGGGGCCAGGACCCAGACTGGTGGGGATGCCACTCCCAACCCTGCTCCTCAGGGGAGGGGGGTGGCGGGCCTGAGACACTTCCCGGGGCGGGACCCCTTTTTTGCTTTCTTTTCCTTTTCACTCAAGGACGAGCTCACCCCTCCCCACCCGCAATGTCGGGTGACTTGGAGACCCCCAGAGCAGGGCGCCGCTTTCTGGGGAGGTGGTGACGCTCCGGCACGGGGTGTACGCAGATGCCAGGGACCTGGGTGGGGTTGGGGGGCCCTGAGGAGACCGGGGGGAGGCGAGTGGCCAGGTGTCGCTCTGGAGTCCCGTCCGGCCGTCCAGCTTGGGGCTGGCCCCAGGCAGGGGCAGAGCATCGTTCTCGTCTTAACAGCCCAGGACGGGGTGGGGGGTGGGCAACGCACCTCCTGTGACAGGAGATCTAGGCACATGCCCGTCCCGAGTTCTCAGGATTCTCCAGCCCCTATTCTGTGTGCGTGTGTGCATGTGTGTGTGCGTGCGTGCATGTGTGTGTGTGTGTGTGCATGTGTGTGGGTTTCACTGAAAATGGCCCACTGAAGAGAAGAGAGTGAGAAGGATGTTTGCTTCTCCTGCTCTGCCCCCCCCTTCGCCCCCCCACGGCGGATGAACGTCAGCCCTGCAGGCCTGTTGCTCGTGGCAACATGAGGGGAAGGCCGGCTGAGTTGCGTGTCTTGTCAGCTGGATTGGGTTAGAAATGGGAGCCGTTGCTCCGAGTCGGCTCACGTGGATTGGGCCTCCACAGAGTGGCCAGGAGGAAGGGCGGCAGTGGGGGTGGCCCCCAGGCGGGCGTCTGTGCTCCCTGCTCAACCTTTCTCTGAATTCCTGTTGTGCCTGGACTGCGTCTACAGTGCAATAATTTCCCACACGGTTGGGATTCTTTCCTCCAGCAAGGGGGTGCTCCTGCTCCTTCAGAGGGGACGTGGCCAAAGCAGGGGCTCTGTGCCGGGCTGTCACCAGAGGGAGCTGCAGGCGTGCTCTGAGCAGCTTGAGGAGAGGCGGCACCTGGCAGGTGCAGGTGTCTGGAGCCGGGGAGTGGGACCTGGGGGTGCAGGGGAAGGAGAGCCCTCTTCGGTCTTCCCAAGATAGACAACACAAAGAGCTGGGGGGTGGTGACAGGACTTTGTGGGCAACCTCCCATCTGGAGTTTGGGGGAACATTTCCCTCCTTCTCCAGGCGCTGTCCTCTCTGTCATGTTGGCGCGGCCTGCTGCTAGGCTAGCGTGTTTCCTGGGGCCCACACAGGCTGGTGGTGACAGGGAGTGCTGACCCCAGACGTGTAATACACCAGGCTCTGTGCTAACCTCTGGGCTTTCTGTGTGGGTCTGAGTCCCCCACAAGTGGACAGGGTGCCCTGGGTGTCCCCACCTTACAGAGGCCGGGGCTTAGGCGGCGAGCGCCGGCCCAGGGTCCAAGCTTGCTCCTGTGCGCCCTCAGAGCAGGCCGGGCAGGCTCTGCGGCCGTGGGCTGCGCTGATGTTGGCGCGGATGAGAAGTGCCTCAGGCTGCCGTCATCTGACTCGTCAGCGGGTGAGGAGGGGGTTTGCACTGTTTCCCTCGGGTGCCATAGTGAAGCACCCCAAATTGGCGGCTTAGCGGCAGGGTTTGTTTACTCTTGGTTTGGAGGCTGGGGTCTGTGCGCAGGGCGGGACTGAGGCTGGCAGGAGCAGCGTCCTGGAGGCCCGGGGGTCCTGCCCCGTGCCCTCAGCTTTGGGGTTGCTATCAGTCCTGGTGTCCAAGCCATCTGTGCCCAGGGTCTCGCTTGGGCTCTGCCCCACCTTCACGTGACCTTCTCCCTGTGTGCCACGACCCCTTTTATGAGGACCCCTGTCCTAAAGGCCCACCCACTTCAATATGACCACACCTTAATTGCTGTATCTGTGGCAACCCTGTTTCCCGTGGGCCGTGCCCAGGTTTAGGCAAGAAATGGCCCCGGGGTGTGGGTGGGAGGCCCCCTGTGCTGCAGGGGGCAGCGTGCCCCGAAGGCAGTTTCCTAGCTGTTGGCTTAGTGTCCAGAAGCAGCTGAAGCCTCTGAGGATGGAGCTTCCTCTTGGGGGAACTCCTTCCTGCCTGGCTTCCTCTAGGGAGGGCTGGAAGAGACTGGGCTGGGGCAGCTGGGGCTTGAGCAGAGGTTGGCACGTGGAGAGGCTGAGGTCCTCTGGAGACACCAGAAGACGTCAAGCATCTGGGTGGTTCTGTGATTTGGGGGTCTTGAGAAGGCAGGACTGGGGAATTGCTGACAGGTGAGTTGCATGGGGGGAGTCAATCTCATGGATGAGGACGTGGCTACCTGGGGGAGGATACAGACGGGGAAGAAGGCCATGCCTTGGATAGCCCAGCCTGTAATGTCTGCCAGAGCAAGGAAAGTCTGCAGAGGTAGAGCTGAGATGGCGTCATGGAGGGCGGGAGGCAGCAGGAGAGGTTCATGAAGCAGGAAGGAGGCAACAGTGTCAGATGCTGGTGGGAGTCAAGGAAGGGTAGGGGGTCAAGAGGGCATTGGAGGCCTTAGCCAGCGCCAACTCTGTCCACAGGTAAGCGGAGGGGCTGTATTTCACTTGATTTGTCATTTACACGGCTCCCCATCAGGGCAGAAAATCCCTGTGGGGATCAGGATATTGAGGTGAAATAAACAAGAACACGTCTCCATGGTAACTGTCTGGCGGCCACACAGGTCCTGAACCATAGCTGTCCGCTCCTGTGTGCGGGGCGGGGGCTGGGAGCAGGGCCTGGACTGTGACGCCAGCCGCCTCTGTGGCCCGACTTTGCGGTGTTCAGCTTTCCTTTGCCTTTCCTTGGGCCTAAGACCCTGAGCAAAGGAGAGTGTTCTCTGGCCAGGAGCCCTAGACCGACGGCTTGTTCTTGTGCTTTCAGATGGACGAGATCAAAGGGAAAGACCGTGTGATCCTGGCCTTGGAGAAGGAGCTTGGTGTTCAGACGGGCCAGACCCAGAAGCTCCTTCTTCAGAAAGAGGCTCTGGATGAGCAGCTGGTTCAGGTCAAAGAGGCCGAGCGCTACCACAGCAGTCCAAAGAGGGAGCTCCCGCCAGGGATAGGGGACATGGCGGAGCTGATGGGCGGCCAGGTGAGCGGCGGGGCTCAGCCCAGCACTGGGGCCTCAGAGCTGGCCACTGACCATCCTTCCTGCTACTGGCCGACTTACCTGCCTGCCTTCCTCTCCTCTCCTCTCCCCTCCCTTCCTCCCTCATTTTGCCCATCCTTCTCGAATCTGCTCGCATTCTGTATGTTTCAACCTAGTGCCAGGCGCTGAGAATACAGAGGGAGGAGCTGACTGCTTGCACCCCTAGTCCTGGAACTCGGTTGAAGAGAGAGAAATGAAGATACCAGTACAGAGTAGCGAGTAAACACTGGACGGGGCGCATCCAAGACCAGACGTGACTTAGATTCAAAGTCCAGCAAGACAACTAGGAGTTGAGCCAACAGACAAGGGCATTTCAATATTCAGCAGGAACAGACGAGGCCAAAGCAGATTCATTCATTCATTCATTCATTCAATCCATCACTAAATAGTGGAGTGTCTGATATGTGCAGACAGCATACAAGGTGCTGCTGGCATTTTAATGGTGAGCGATGGACCAGGGCCTGTTAGCAGGTGGCCAAGGGATCATTTTCCCGTTGTACACAAGTGCCAATAATGTGCCACCAGGATTTGGGAAAGGGAACAGGAGCCTCAAGACTCAGATCTGCCTCCCAAATAGCTGGGGGATGAACGGGCTTGCATCACAGTTTGGGGAGTGGCACCTAGAAGAATAAGAGTTGGCTCTCATTGCCTGGAAATGGGCTGGAGGCATGGCAGTGTGGCTTTGCCAGGAAGTCACTGGGCGAAGGGCCAGGGAGACGGAGAAACGCCGTTGGCGTGAGATCATGGATGGAGGTGGGCTCTGGCTCAGGTGTGAGCTGGGGTCAGGTGCTCCTGATCGTGGACCGCTGTGGATGAGCACTGGGCCCAAGGTGCTGGGTTTTATCAGGAGAAGCAGAATTGCTTGGAAAGAACAAGTTAGTCCTGGTATTACACAAAAGGAGGCCATCAGTCATCTGATTTCACTGGACAGGCTGAAAAGTGGTTAGACGGGCTAGTAGCCAGGATTCAGGCTGCATGAGCGCCGAGCGGGTTTCCAGGTGGGTTTCAGTTCCTGGCTCTGGTTTCACACCTGCCCTGGAAAGGTGTCCTAGCACATCCTGGGGGCCAAGTGATGGTGAAAGTCCCCAGAGACCACTTGCAGATGTTTGGAAGGTTTGACACCTCATCACCCTTGAGGTGAAGTCACAAGTCACTCGCTGGGCCTGGGGTGTCGTCTCAACTGCTTCACCTTGGGGGGCTCCAGAAGCGCATGTGGTCATCCTAATGCAGATCTACCTGGTGTGTTCCAGCATTTTCTAGGAAGGGTCGATGGAGTCCTCTGTGTCGCTGCAGCTTCTTCTAAGCACATTTATATTTTAACTCTTTTTTAGGATCAACATATGGATGAGCGAGATGTGAGGCGATTTCAACTAAAAATTGCTGAACTGAATTCAGTGATACGGAAGCTGGAAGACAGAAATACCCTGTTGGCAGATGAGAGGAGTGAACTGGTAATAAGCCCCGGGGCGGCAGATGGTGCTCAGTGGAAGCGGGAAGGCGGCCCTGGGCCGTGCAGCCCGCCTGGAGCAGAGTCCACGCAGAGGCCTCTGGTTTCCTTTACTTTCTGTCTAAGTCCTTTCTGATTAAAAATCTCACACAATCTCATTGTAGAGACTGGTCACTGCCTTTTGTTTCTGCAGGAAATGGTTGCAGAAGTTCAGTGAGCAGTGCAGAGAGCATGTTCACCGCGGTGATGTTTATAATGGCAGCCAGGACCAAACCCCAAGATGTAAAGTGCTGGTCGAAGTGTTAGGGCACATTTATTTACACAACGAATTGTGTGCGGTCATTAAGAGAGATGCCATAGGCCATATTTAATTTTTAATTCTGTGGAAGTTTGTTCATAGTAAATGAAGCGATAAAACAAAACTGTTTTATGGGACAGAAATACATACTCATCATTCTGGAATTTGGAAGTTTTGGGTGGTGTGGTTATGGATGATTTTAATTTTTTGTATGTCTGTTTCATCTCCATAAAATTTTACATTGTTCTAATTTTAAAAATAATGAGCACTGGGGCCTCCCCTGGTGGGGCAGCGGTAGAGCGCTGGGTTGCAAGGCTGCCCGCAGCCTCTGCAGTGCCAGTTCGATCCCCTGCCACCGGCAAGGGTCCCACAGGGGGGGAAAAAAAAAAATGAACACTGACTCCTGGTAATAATATAAATCTAATAAAAATACAAATTTCTCACCTCATCTGGTACATGTCTGTACAAGTTTCATGTACAGACATGAAACTTGACAAATGCCTTATAATATTTCTGTTTATTCTAGATTTTATTAAGAATGTAAGTGTACATATTTGAAAAACAGGCTAGATGAACAGTGTTAATGAGTGTCATCTCTTCACATTTTTAACAGAAGCAAAAACTCATTTCCTTCCAGTATTTTTAAAGTCCCATATTGACATAGCTTCAACCACACTGTGCATTTAGCATCTCATGTGGCACTACTTCTCTCATAAACATTCATATTCTAATACAACAAAACTCCCTCCTGTGCTTATAAGTGGACTAGAAAAAATACAGCTTGTTTGCTACAATTCTGACCACACCGAAGTATTTAAAGAACTTGTGAGCTTGCCAGTGCTCTGATCTTAAAATGACGGTGTGACTACCCTTAATAATTAATAATTTGACATGGTTCTCATGCATTTCTAGTGCTTATATATGCTTATTAGCAGCCACCGAGAGAGTGTTGTTTTGTGGTTACCACACTGGCTTTTCCCATGCGTATTATTGTTCTGCAACTTGCCTTTTTTCACTTGATTTGTCATTTACACGGCTCCCCATCAGGGCAGAAAATCTGCCTTTGTCTTTTTAATGCCTGCGTAGTACTCCACGGTGCGGCCATAACCATAGTTGATTCAGCCATTCCTTCCCTGGTAGATCTGTTGTAAACAATTCAGTTGTGGCTGTGTTCTCTGAAGCTTTATTTCTGTGGGCTAGGTTTCTAAACATGGGTTTCAGGTACATTTCCTATCCTGTGCATACCATCTTAACTTTCACAGCCTGGTGAGTGAGGGCTGGGACTTCAGTCAGTCCCCAGGTTTGGTTCTTGGTTCCAGACTTTCTTTGCAGTCTTGAGCCACCCCTTCCCATTTGTGGTCAGATTCTCAGTCTATGAAGTGGGGTGAGGATGGGGCCCCCTCCTGGGGTTGAGGTGAGGGGTAGGTGGAAGGGAAGCCTGCAAGGGCTGCATGCAGAGGACTGGACTCCCGCAGCAGGTGTCCTGCTGTCCTAATACTGATGGGGAGTCCGTCCTTTCTGATTTTCATCCATGGGAACAACCCTGCCTGCGGTTCATCCTCACAAGGCTAGGAGGTGGGTGCCACTATCATTCTCATGTCATAGATTAGGAGACCGCGGCCAGGAATTTGGCCACGGCCGTGCAGCTAGAGAGTGAGCCTGCCCCCAAAGACAGTGAGCTCAGAGGATAGGAGTGTGGCCTCTGGACATGCTGTCCCTGTTCCTGTTCCTACTGCTATCACTTCTTGCACCTCTGTCCCGCTGGACTGGCCTCCACACAGTAGTCAGAGTGATGGATTGTTCTGGAAGACAAATACGGCCACAGAGTGGTCCTGCTTCAAAGCCCTCAGGGGCAAGTTGTTGAGAGGGCCTGACAGAGCTGCTCAGCTCTCTCCCTCGCCTACCCGCCCGCTTGCCCTGCCTCCGTCCATGCTGGCCTGAGTAAAGCCACATGATTGAGCTGTCTTACCCCGAACTTCTGGGCGTGTGGTCCTCCTGCCTGGAATGTCCCTCAACTGCCTCACTGTCCTCACCTCCCTGATGGTCTCAGCTCGCTTTCCCCGTCCACTGATGGGCACCCCATCCTGTTGGCCCTTCCACCAGCCCCCACCCAGGGCGCTGGCTTCACCTGCTGACCGGGGAGGAAGGCGGGCAGGACAGGCCACCAGGCCTAGGGACTGAGCACAGAGGCCCTGGAACCCTCAAGGCTGAGATACCGTATTCTCTCTACGCCCTGCTTGGAGCCTGGCACGAAGGGGGCCCTGATCTGTGGTCTCTGAGGGGAGCTTCCTGCTGGGGTGTGCTTGGGAGGATGGAAGCCGGAGAAGCTCATGGTGCCCAGAGGTGTGAACAGGCGACAGGACACGGCTGCTTGCAGCAGGTGCCCTGAGTCAGCCCTGCAGGCTCCATTTTCTGAGGCTCGGGGGTACTGTCTCTGCACCTGATGTCGGGGCGCTTCTCCGTTGGCACCGCCCAGGAAACATGGTCCTGGTGGTCCAGGACCGTCCTGGGGAAGGTCCAGGTTGGGTCTGGCTGGCTCGTGGTGTGCCGCTGCCGCCCCTGCGTCTTAACGCTGCCCGGCCTCTGCCTCCCCGCGTAGCTGAAGCGCTCCCGGGAGACCGAGGTGCAGCTGAAGCCCCTGGTGGAGAAGAACAAGCGGATGAACAAGAAGAATGAGGATCTGCTGCAGAGCATCCAGCGCATGGAGGAGAAGATCAAGAACCTCACGCGGGAGAACGTGGAGATGGTGAGTGGCCGCCGTGGGGCAGCCCTGGCCTGTGCCATGTGGCCTACACCTGCACCCCTCAGCCCTCGCAGCCCTGCTCCCGGGGGCCTGCTGAGCAGCCTCCCCCCGCCCCATCTCTGTAGCTGATGGGTGTCTGGGCCAGACCCTTAGATGCCCCCCACCCCCCCGTGCTGTCAGCCTCAGGCTCATTCCTGAAATGGGAGTGGAAACCAGCATGGCAGGGGCATGGGAGGATGAAACGGGGCCTAGAAGGGCCTCCCTGAGCCCCAGCCCCTCCTGGAAGCTCATGTGCGGGTGCGGGCCCACGTGAAGGGTTTCGGTCCTCCAGGGAGGATGCTGGGCTGTGCTCAGCCGTCTTTCTAGAACACTCTGAGGGCATTGCCCAGAGTGGTGTTGCCACCCTGCTTGACTACTGATGAGACTGAAGCTCTTGGGGTGCAGCCCCTTCTCCCTGTGCCTGGCAGGGCCAGTGTGAGTGTGAGAGCACTGAGTGGGGTACGCTCCTTCCCCTGGCACGCTGTCCTCCTTGCCCCCCAATTTCCTTGTCCAGCTTGCAAGGCTCAGTTGGGAGATCTGCCTCCACCCCTCTCAGCCCCAGCTTCAGCTTGGGGACCAGATGGCTGTTCCCCTCCACCCCTCCATCTCTCCCGTGTCCTCTGCCTGCACCGAACCCCCCAATGTGCCCGGTGGGCTCCTGGCCAATGTCAGTGGGGCCCTGCGTGATGAGCGTGTCCCCCTGGCCGCAGAAGGAGAAGCTGTCTGCCCAGGCATCTCTGAAGCGGCACACGTCCCTGAACGACCTCAGCCTGACCCGGGACGAGCAGGAGATCGAGTTCCTGCGACTGCAGGTGCTGGAGCAGCAGCACGTCATTGACGACCTCTCGCTGGTGCGTCCGCGGGCGGCAGGGGCGGGCGGGGGCCCCGGGGTCTTGCTCCGTGCCGGGTGGGCGCGGGTGGCTTTGGGGCTGCTGAGCTCGGTGTGAGGACGGATTCCTGCCTGCTCCGTTCTCACAGGGGCAGCCTGGCAGGGCGTCGTCGTCACGGGTGCCTGGGAACGGTTGCCGTGGCGACTCTTCCCCTCATCTGCCCTGTTCGCTGGCCGCCAGGAGCAGCGGCGGGTCTGAGACTCCGTCTCTGGCCTTTGCTGAGGGGCCTGGTCTGTCCCCGGGGGTCTGGTTTTTTAGCTCAGTTGTTGCAGACCATCAGCCTGCATCTTATCGTCAGGTGGAGTTTGCAGAGCTGGCTGGGAACAGGTGTGTGCACGTGTGTGCGCCTGGACGCATGTGTGAGTGGCTCGGGGGTGAGTGTGTCTGCAGCAGGTGGAACGCTGGCGAATCCCGCAGCGTGCGGGGAGGGGAGCTCGGGCTCCGTGGGGGGCCTCCGCGGTGTCCTGCTCGCCCTCGAGGGTACTGGCGGCGCCATTCCTGGGGCTTCAGAGAGGAGAGAGGCTGAGGGTCAAAATGATAGGGAAGGCTTTGATCAGAGTCTCAGGGTCACTCGCTTGCCCAGTGCCCGAGCTCTGGAATTCCTTCCGCTTTCCACTCGCCCACCGAGCCCCCTCCCTGCATTCTCCCAGCCGCCCCTTCTCCCTCCGCCCCCCTCCCTGCACCGCTCCCGCCCTCCATTCTCCTTTGCCTACATCTGTCCCTTCCACCCTCCGAGCCTCCGTCCCTCCTGCTCTCCTGCCCTCCATCCGTCTTGGCTTCAGCACACGAAAACCTTGATGAACATAAGATGAAAAGACACGGTCAGTCAAGTGATGAGGGGGCTGGAGAGGAATATACGCAGCCAAGACGAGAGAGTAAAGGCAAGACCAAGGGGCGGGCGGCCCCTGAAGGCTGCAGTCCAGTCCCAGACTTGCCTCTGGGGTCCCGGCTGCAGGAGGGAAGGGAAGGCCCCCGGGGGGAGGGGGCTCTCCAGCCCTCTCGGGGCTCCACGGGCCTTTCTGCGCAGCAGCCCTGTTCTGCCTCAGGCTGCACTGTGCCAGGCTCCGCCCCGAGCAGCAAAGGAAGAACCTGAGAGTCAGAGGAATCGTGTCCCCCTGCCAGGAGGGGGCCCGGGGAGGCGGCCCCAGTGTCTGAGGCCGCAGCCACCGCTTTCTCCTTTCTACCGTGTTGGTGCTGAGCAGACACTGGTCACCCCGCCCAGGGCTTCCCAGCCTGCAGCCCCTGCAGGTGACTGGCCTGCAGCGCTGGGCGTCCCGGCCCCTCTCCTGGGCCGTCCTTGTCCCCGGCAGTGAGGCTGCTGCGGCCTCTGCTCTGAGTGTGGCCCTCACCGGGACCTCGGTCCCCGCACTGACCCTTCCCGGAGGTACAGGTGGCACTGCCCGAAAGTGTCGCCTTTCGCGAGCTGGTTTGCTGGTGGATTGAGGCCGCTGCACGTGCCCACCCTTGCGTTTCCTCCTAGGAGCGAGAGCGGCTCCTGCGCTCCAAGAGACACCGCGGGAAAAGCCTGAAGCCGCCCAAGGTAAGCGCAGTGCACGGCTGCCCTGCGGGTGGGCACCGGGCCTGCAGACACATGGTCTGGGTGAGGGGCGAGGCCGCAGAGGGACCCTGAGGCAGGGACACGCGGGCTCCACTTGTCTGAGCGTGAGGCTCCTGTTACCTGAAAGTGATGCTGCCGCGGGACCTGGCGCTTCGGCTCGCTCGTGGGACGCTTGCTGGGGCCTCAGTGCGTACCCCAAGTTAACAATGTACCTATGCGGGCCTCTGGAAGGATTAAAGGACAGTCAGGCGGGGCTTATCACATCTTATATCCTGCTGCAAAGAGTCGGGCACTTGGGCTTTTTTGGAATAATGCAGAGCAGCCTTCTTTTCGGGGAGATGTGGTTGTAGAGAAACGAACGTCCTGGTGAGGAAAGCGGAGAGGGGCTTGGAGAGCTTGGACGCCCGCAGCGACAGAAGTGGAATGGGAAAGAGCACATTGGGCAGGGTTTAAAAAAAGGATTTTGTTTGCCTTTAAACTTGTAATCGTGTTTTTCACGTCCACGAAGATGAGGGTCTGCTTTTCTTTTTATTGAACCAGATGTCCCTCCTGATTTATCTTTTGATAGAGATGTGGTCACAGAGAAATCTTTTCTTTCATAAAGAAAACAGCGGTGCCGGGGTGATACTCAGTGGCCACAGATATATGATCTTGGGGTCAGGAGGATAGTAAGGAGTGGTGGGGATTGTGGCAAACTGGGCCCTGAATGCCAGTTGCTGTAAGAAAGTGAGCCAGGAGGTGTCCATCTGCCCGGTCTTTCGAGAGAAGTGAAAATACTGTACGTTCATTGCCTCTGACTTCATGACAAAGCACCAAAATGGGGTGACTTGGAATAGCGGGAAATTATTGTCTCGAAGCTTGAGTCTAGAAGTCTACGGAGCCGGCAGGGCCATGCCTCCGACACCTGGAGGGGCGTTCTTCCCTTGTCTTTCCCCAGCTTCCGGGGGGTTACCGGCAATCGTGGGCTGCCTGTAGCTGCGACCACTGCCCTCTCCCTGTGTCTCTCAAGGCTGTCCTGTTAGAAGGACACAGGGGTGAGATGTGGCCTTCCCCTGCCCCCGCCCCAGTACAATCACGGGAACCAGTCCCGTCTGAATGAGCATATTTCCAGGCAAGCTCACATTCTGAAGCACTGAGGGGGCGGGGGACGCTAGGACTTCACTGTGTCTTTTTTGGGGGACCCAAGGCAACTGGCTGTCAGCCCCACCCATGCCCCATCCTCTGCCACCACCTCGGCGCGTCTTACCTCAGGCACGCAGGACGACGGCTGGTGGCACAGCGAGGCATCTCCGGTCTTGAACTTCTGGCAGAGGGAGGGGTCTAAGTCGGTCCAAGAACCAGCACATCTGGACACAGCTGTGGTTTCCACAGAAGCAGGAGTCCTCAAACCAGGCAGCAACATGTGCCAGGCAAGACCACCCTGGGCTCGTCTTGAAGGCCCAGGTGCAGAGCAGTTAATAGGGGAGTCGGCCCTTGCCTTGTCCCAAAAGTTGCAGGTGGCTCAATTTCTAGGCCTGCCTCCTCCTCCTTTAGCCAAGCTTCTTTCTCTTATTAGTGTCAAAAAACTCAAAGTCACTTAAGCAAAGGAAAGAATTTATACAACTGAGACGTCTAGTGGGCTGGCTTCAGGCATGGCTGCATCCAGATGTCACGCCGTCTTTCAAGGAACCCATCGCTCTCCATCTTTTGTCTCTGCTTTCCTCTGGATGAGTCTCATTCTCAGGCAGGACCTCCCCAGGTGAGGAACTGCGTTAGCAGCTTCGGGGTTCACTTTACCAAGCTGGCAGCCTGTAAGGGGCAGGAATGACACAGAGGAGGTTTTCTGATCCCATGCAGACCGAGTAAAGGGGGAGAGAGTCCTGGAGCCCTCAATGGCTTGTGCAGGTCTTTTATGTAGATTTACCAGATACACAGCAGGCAGGGGTGCTGGGGGGCCGGGAGGCTGGCAGGCCTCCCAGCCCCCAGCAAGTCTTCACTCTATCTGGGCTCTCCGGCCTTCTCTTGTGTTCTCTCTGCTCTGCTCTCCTGCTTCTGCTCATTCTCGGCTTCTGCTGGCGTCCCCGCGCCGCCGCCCTTATAAACTGTCTCTCAGCCCAGGTGCACCCACTTCAGGTGCCGCCATCAGGCATGCATTCGGGACCACAGGGTTCCCTCGTCTATCCTAATGGCGGGGGGCGGGGGGGCAGAAAAGCCTGATACTTTTTACCTTACCCTACACAGCCTCTCTGGAAGAGGGGGTCTCGCGTTCTCAGAGCTTCCAGCAGAAGGCCCGGGACTGGTGCTCCTGGGCTGGGCGTGGAGCAGGCCTGGAGGGTCCCCAGGGGAAGCGTGAGTCCATCGCCCAGTCAGCAAGGGGTTGACTAGCGTGCGCGGTCACGAGGCTGTGTCGTGGGTGCTGGAGAGGGGCAGGGCAGCAACTGTATTTAAGTTGAAATACGCCTCTGAGCCCGGCTGTTTAGATTTTTCCTGTTGTGAATTGTCCTTTGCCTTTTCATGTTGCTGAAATACCTGTCAGAGTAAGCGGTGGTGCTTGCCGCGGTGAAGTCAGTCGGTTTTTTCCGCGTTGAGGGTCTTTCCTTTGATGTCACGCCTAGAGTGGGGCGGGGAGCGGCAGACTGTTCTAGTTACAAAGCTGCAGCTTTCTGCTGGGTGGTCGTTTGTTTCGGGCCATAGAAACAGACAAGTGCTGAAGGAAGGAGTGGCCGGACGCCAGGGAGCTTGGCTCACTCAGGGTGCGTGGGGGTCGTCAGGATCAACAGAGCAATTTCCCAGCCTCCCGCGCGGGGAGGGGCCTCCTGGGCGGGCCTGGTCCCAGCGAAGGCTGGTGTCGCGTCACCGTTGCTAGCGCTGTTCCCCGGGGCCCCTGCGATCGTCCAGGGGCCCGGGGCCTGTGGAATTGCATCGGCAACAGGGCAGCTCAGGGCCCCTGGGGGTCAGGAGGAGAGCCCCAGAGAGCCCGTGAGCACGGAAGCCGTTCTCCATGACACCCTGGAAACCTGCATCCCCGCCGGCAGCCTGGCGCTTCCCCAGCGCAGACAACCCTTTTAATACGGGGCGCCTTCTGGAGCGCCCGGTTCTCTGAACGCTGCAGCAGACGAAGCCACAGGAAGCCTTGGAGACAGTGGGTCTGGCAGGGACGAGGAAAGGCGGCTGCTCGGGGGAAGATCCGGTGCCTTCTAGGGCAAGAGAGGCCTGGAGCCGATGCAGTGATGTGGCCGTCGGCTCACCCCTGCCACATGGGCTAGCGGTCCCGGAGTCCCCGCCATGGAGTACATCCTCTTCGTCCTCTACTTCTCCTTCTTCCTCTGCCTCTGCGCCCTGGTGTGCCTGTACTTCTCCGGCTGCCAGGAGATGACCTATAAGCATGAAGGTAAGGCCGGCTCCGGGGCCCGCGCGGCGGCGGCAGGCGGCTGGCCAGGAGGCGCCTTCCTGCGCAATGGCTGCTGGAAACAGGAGGCGAGAGCAGGAGGAGGGAGGCTGGAGTCCGGGGGGTGTTAAGGGGGGACGCCCCTCTGTGCTCTGCGTCCATTGAGCTGCTAAGAATGGGCGCCTCTGTCTATTCTAAGTGTTGGGGAGAAGAAACCATTATTTTCCAGCCATTTTTGCCCACGCTGCATTTTTAAGAGTTGGATTCATTTGGATAAAGGAGTCAGCGAGACAAGACTTGGGGGTAGAGACAGTGGGAGCCTGAGGGCGAGCCCCTCTGCTAGAGGAGGCCCAGTGGGGGCAGGTGGAACCCTGCTGGTGGGGGGGCAGGCGGAACCCATGCTCCGGAAGTGACTTTCCCCGGGAGCGCCAGAGGACTGGGGCATGGACCATGCAGCCCTTCCTGTAGAGCACAACACCCCGTGCGCCCAGATACGTGCCGGCCAAGAGAGGAGCTTCTCGATGGTTCTCTCCGCTCTCCTGGTGGCCGATGTCATTTCTTGTGTATTTTGAAAGCCCAGTGTAAGGGGCGTGTCTGCTCTTCGAAGCAGACAGCCAGATCGCCCTTGCAACGGGAGACTGTCTTCTCCTTCCTTCTGCTCCATAGGGGCACAGGTCTCCTTGGCACCTTCTGGCTTCCCATGTGATGCCATCACTTGACAACAGCTGCCCCGTAAACAAGCCGCCTCACCCAGCCTGGGGGTCTCGGGCCCGGCGGGATTGGACGCCCGCCTGGGAATGGGATCGGCATCGGGTACCCTCTGCGTTTGGCGTCTGCCCTGGGAGCTGCCCGCTACCCCGCCCGCCCTGCAGTGTGGGTCCATGGAGTCTTGGCCGCTGGGGCCATGTTATGTTTTAGGGGCTCTGCTTGGCCCTTGGGTTAGGCCGTCTACAAAGGCGGCTCTGCCTAAAATGCTCGGGCAGCGTCTGTGTTCATGCCCGCATTAGGGCCGGGTAATTGAGCTCTTAACTGGCAGTCCCACAAGGTTTCAAGAGCGGATCATCCCGGGGAATGGGACCGTGAGTCGGTAGCCCCCAGAAAGGGGCACGGCCTGATGGGGTGAGCAGAGCCCAGCTTTGTGGACAGCTACCTGCTGGCACCCTCACTCAGTGTGCCAGGCTGCCCCCCCACCCTGCATCCCCGCCCTCACTGCCATCGGCACCATAAACACAGACCTGTCCCCAGGGGCCATGCAATTAGCGCTGTTTACAAGAGAATCGTGGCTGAACTGAGTTGCTGCCCAGAAAAAGGAAGATCCTGGAGCTTGGGGCGGGGGAGCTGGGTGGGGCGGCAGCAGGGTGAGCGTGTGTGCAAGGAGCTTTGGCGTTGCTGGCAGTTCGCCCCTGAAGGGGCCTTTGTCACCCAGATGTGAGGGCCGCTGCTCCCAGGAGGCCGCCTGGGGGGTTTTGATTCCTGGACTCAAGTGAGTTTTCGCATCTGAAGGCCAGATTTGGACACATGATCATCCCCAACCTCTGCTTGGAAGGGAGAAACTGGCGGAGCCAAGTGGCTTCTCACGCCCTGCTTGTTAACTTCTCCTGGGGCTCCTGACCTGGCGTGGTGCTGGCTGCACACATGCAGGGTGTTGTGTGCAAACCGAAACCACTTGTGGGCTCGCGGGGCAGCCTGGCTCACTTACAGCCAGGGAGGAAGAGAGAGGCTGGGCTGGGGGCTGGGCTGGGGGGCCGGGAGGGACTGGATGTGGAAGTCAGGGAAACCTTTTTGACAAAGTTACATTTGTGCAAAGACTCAAGGAAAGTGAGGGAGAGAGCCTTGTGGATTCTGGGGAAGCACGTGCAGGCAGTGCAAAGGCCCCGTGGCAGGTACGTGGAAGGGCAGGACTGTGCCCAGCACTGGGGCCCCAGCATGGGGATGGAGAAGGGGGTGAGCAGATCCATTGGCTACCATGTGAGTGATGGCTGTTCTCAGGGGAACCCCATGGAGCTGCCGACGAGTGGTGATGTGTGAGGCAGGGGTTCAGGGGAGAGGTACACGCCCACTTCCATTAAAACCCCCAAATGGAGCATGAGGTGAAAGCAACCTGAGGAGAGACAAATGCCAAGGGGTCACGTGCCCACAGCAGAAAGCCTTGTTGGGCCCTGAAGCCACTACAGGAGATGACACCCCACTCCGAGCTGCCCCCCACCCCCCGCTTCCCATCACCCCACCAATGTCTGAGCGATTTCCTGATCACATCATTCATGCGGGACCAGCTGCGTTTTTCTTACTTTTGGGCCAGGAGACTGCAGAGCAGCCCTGGCTTAAGCCCAGGTGGCGAGTTGGGTGCCCTCGGCCTGTGGGCACCCTGACCCCTCTGGGGATGAGGAGCAGCGAGGGGCTTTTGGAGCCCAGGTTCTGGGGAACAGTGGGAGCCCGGAGCTGGGCTCTGGGCTGAGTGATGGTTCTTCGTGGTGGGGAGGGCATTTGTTGACCGTGAAAGCAAGGGAGAGCCCTTCTCGGGCTGTTTTGGGCAGGAGAACACCCAGTGTCGCGGCAACGGGGACATTGACGGGGACATTGATCTGAAATGGTGGCTGAGTCTGTGCCCCAGGGCAGGACCAGGCTTGGGTCCGACCTGGCGCCTCCCCAAGACCCGTGCTGACCCGTGGAAGCTGCTCGTCAGGCGTCTACTAGATGAGAACGGGAGGAATGGGTGAGCGAATCAGCGTAGCCTGCGACATTCGGGGTGGGAGAAGAGCCAGGCCTGGCAGGTGACAGGAGCGGCACAGTGGGCACTCAGGTGGCCTCTGTGTCCAGGTCACGGCAACATGAGGCCAGTAAGTCACCAGGCCCCACGAGCCCCGGGAGGAGCTGGCTGCTTTTCTGAGTGACCCGGCAGCGTCCCCCTCCAGAGGCAGAGCTGGGGCGCTGCACCGGATGCTGGGGGAGCTGTTACAGGAGGAAGAGGCAGGTGAGGGGCGGGGCAGCCTCACCTGCTGGAGTGGGGGTGTGGGAAGCTGGGACAGTCGTCTCATCTTCCTTGGGGTGGGGGGACCTCTGGGGGCTGAGCAGAAAGCTTCCCACCGGGAAGCCCACCTCTGGGGGGTGGGGCTTAGGTGAGGCGTGGAGCCTTGGGGGGTTTAGCACAGGCACCTCCGCTTGGGGATTGTCTGTTGTGTGTGTTGCGCGCACCGTTACTTCTAGTTGTGTAAACGTCCCAGGGTTGCTGTGATAAGAGTCGAGCAGAGGCCAGGCGAGGTCCTGGCCACACGCTTGTCCGGCCAGTCAGAGCCCGGCCAGCAGCGACCCGTCCCCAGCCCCGCGTGTGGTGTCTGGGACCGGCTGGTCCTCTCTCCTTGCGCCCACGCGCGGCCGGCCCCGCCCACAACTGCGCCCGGCCCGGTGGCCGGCCCTCCGAGTGTGCTGAGGGAGCGGCCCCTGGGCCGAAGGCCCGCGCGGGGGGAGTGCGGGGCAGGTGCCGGCGGAGTCCGCGCGGGCCAGCGTGGTGTTGTGGCCACCCCACAAGCCTGCGGGGAGGCCCTGGGCCCAGAGGAGCCCCCATGCCCGGTGCTGGGGCGGCGAGTCGCAGCCCCCCAACCCTGCACATTGCCTTTTACAGAAGCATGTTGTGGAGACATTTTTTGGATTTGACGAGGAGTCTGTGGACTCGGAAACGCTGTCGGAGACGTCCTGCAACACGGACAGGACGGACCGGGCCCCCGCCACGCCCGAGGAGGACCTGGACGATGTAAGCTGCCTCGGGCGCTGAGGCCGCCCCGGGCCTGGGTCAGAGCAGTCCCGCACTCAGGCGCCCCAGTGGCAGTGGGGGCGGCGTGGGACGCCCCTCCCGGCGCTGCTTTCAGAGAACATAGGCGGCCACTGTGGTCAAGCACGTCCCTGAGGGTGTCACCTGGGGCTGCCTTGTGTCTGTCCCTCGTTCCCTGTGCACCCTTGCACACATGTGCACACACACAAACGCACACATGCACACGCGTGCACACACTCACTATGCTCACGTGAGCACACGCATGCCTGGTGGAAAGAGTGCCCTTGCTCCTTCATCAGAAAGCGAACACGCGGCACAAGAGAGCGTGCACACACTGGACAGTGCAGGGCACAGGCCTCTCGCCCCTGACCTCTGCCCGAAGTCATCACCCCCTTCCCTGAGCCTCTGCCGTCCATCTGGGCTCATGCTGGGGCCCGCGGGAGCGGCTTCCTCCCCACCCGCCCCTTCCCGGGGCACACACAGCTGTACACCGGGGGTGGGGCCTGAGCTTGCGTGGGTTCCAGCCTCAGGGCTGTGAGGGGCGCTGTTTGTGCACGCCCGGGGGTGGTCTCCTTGAGGGAAAGTGCTGGAATTTGTGACATGGGCGAGACATGGGGGGGTCCCTTTCCAAGTTTCTAGCCACCTTTGGGGGTGCTGGTTCGGTGCCCTGGCCTGTCTCCCCCGTACGTGTGGACCAGGGGGCCCCCTGGGAAGGCCCCGGTGGCAGAGACGGCCTTGTCCCCAGGCGGCCTCTCATTGGCCGCAGGTGTGAGGGCGGAGCCCGCTTGGTGTCTGCCCACCCGGGGGTCGGGCTGCAGTCACGTGCTCTGTTTCTCTCCCTATGGCGCCAAGACCACCACCAGAGAGGAGGCCGACCTGCGCTTCTGCCAGCTGACCCGCGAGTACCAGGCGCTGCAGCGGGCCTACGCGCTGCTTCAGGAGCAGGTCGGGGGGACCCTGGATGCCGAGCGGGAGGCCCGGGTGAGTGCAGCAGGCCGGGGCTGGGCAGGGCTGGGGGCACGCTCGGCCGGGGGTCATGGGTCCTGCTGGCTGCCCTGACACCTGCTAGAGGTGACGGACCAGGGTGTAACCCAGCTATGTGGGGGCGACATGCCAGCATTGGCCCGCCCAGCAGGAGGGTCTCTCCACTGCCCTTGAGACTGGGGGAGTGGCGGGAAGAAATGGTGCTTTGGTCCCACGGGCGTGAGCAGGTGCATCTGGGCCTCAGGGCATTGGCTCAGTGATGAATCACAGGCCTGGAAGCGTGGCCTTCAGACTTTACACTCCTGGACTGAGGACCCCCGGAGAGCACCCCCAGAACACCTGCAGGGCTGCGGGAATACACTCTGGCCCTTGCTGGCCTCAGGTCCCTTGCACTGGACTGAGAGCCGTCTTCCAGCAGCTTCCACCACTGGCACTTACCCCGCTTTCAGGAATCTGACCAGGGTCTGCTCGCTCTTCCTTCTGAAAGAGAGGGGACCACCTTAGAACACACCCATTGATGCCAGCACTTTATCCCACATACCCCCCTTTTTATCCCCACAATGGCCCCATGAGGGAGGAGGTGACAAGTGAGGGTGATGGGCAGGAGAGCGTCTTGCACCACAACAAAGCACGTATCCGATAGTCTATGGATAGAGCAGGTGTGCTTCTGAGCAGAGTTTGGTTGGACTGCATTGTGCGGTTTTTATTAGAAATTTCATCCAGCTGTCAACATTTAAGTCAAGAGGTTTCACATAGAAATCTAGATTCTTGACTTCTCTTGAGATCTCAGAATATCTCACAACCTCTAGCTTCCTATTCCGTGTGGTAGCATTTGGCTGCGGCTGAGTGGCAGTTTTCCCTGGGAGGGGACATGAGCCTCCAGTTTGCCACAGTCCCCATCACTCCCTATTGCCTCACACCTAGTCAGCTTCTCTTATTTACATTATCTGCCTGGTCCTTCAGCTGCTTTGGTTTTCATGCCTCATAGGCAATAAAGTCCTCCGTGAGGAGGACTAAGCACGTGTGAAAGTGCTCAGTAATGTTGGTTGACTGCTGAGTGAGTAACCACTGAATGTAGCTTGCAGCTGGGCTTGAGACCCTGACATGTTTGGGGTCACTCTGCTTCTGACTCACTGTGCTCCTGGGAGAAACTGTCTCCTCCAGGCTTCACTGTTCTTACCTATCATCTCGAGGGGCCATAGAACTGACAACCTTTCAAGAGCTTTCAGTTCTTAAAACATTTTCATCTGCGGGTGATAGACCCTGACTGGTGCCGCGCGTCAGCCCGTTTGGGTCTGTGCTGCACATGTGAATCATCTCTCAGGTCTGGAGCGAGGCCGAAGGCTTTCTCCTCTCGCCACCCGTTCAAGACAAACTACTCACGTTCTGATCTTTTATGTTCCAGACTCGGGAGCAGCTCCAGGCTGACCTGCTGCGATGCCAGGCCAAAATCGAAGACTTGGAGAAGTTACTGGTTGAGAAGGGGCAGGTGAGCAGGGCCGGGGGTGAGCTCTGTGATTCCAGCATGTCTCCCTGTGGTGGTGCCCTGGGGTGGTGGTTGGGGTGGTGGTTTCTATGTGTTATGTCTGTTGCCTCAGAGAATTAGAGCAAAAACCACCAGAGGCACCCAGGCGAGAACCTCTGAGCTAACCTGGCATCCTGCAGGTTGAAATACAAATTCTGTTATGAAATAGAGATGAAATCCTTAAGAAATTCGGACTTGGCCTTCTCTTTGTTTGCCAAAACAGGCACAAGCCAGAGACAGTTCCCAGCGCCAAGATTTTTTTTTTTAACTTGAATCTAAAGAAAAGCTGCCTTGGCCAGACGAGATGTAATTAGAATGTGCTGCTGGTTGCAGCGGCTCCACGACCCCAGAGCCCACTGTGACAGGCGTGTCCCGAGCCCTCAGCTTCTCTAATGGGGGCAGGTCTATGTGCGTGCACGCTCCGTGTGGTCACACCCGGGAGATGGCAGGACACGGAACAGAGGGTCTGCCTGGGCTGGGGAGCTGCTGGGGCTCCGGGCGCAGGTGGGCCTCCCTGAAGGTAGCCTCCAAAGGCAGCCCAGCCTGGGTCACGGGGGCTGCTCTGCATGCGGAGGGTGCTCTGGTATGAGACAGCGACTTCCCAGTGGCCGCCCACCCTGGCCTTTGCCTCCTACGCTCAACACTGCCCACCCTCCATGAGCCAGGGCCGCCGGCTCCACGTGGTCACTCGTGTCCAGTGCTGGCGGTGCCATATCTTGTCAGGGCCCTGTCCACGCGCAACATGTCCTCCTTGGTGGGGGCGGGAGAGACTGTTCGCTGCCGGGCATGTCTGCGGCCAGCATAGCCCGTGGCCCCGCCTCACTGTGAGTTGGGTGCCCAGATGGGGGTCCAGGTGGCTCTTCTTCCACCCTCAGTGTTGGGCCCTGCTCTGTGCGCTGGCTCTGCCCAGCGCAGGAGGGATGGAGGGCCAGTAGGGCAGAGCAAAGGGCCACTGGCTGTGAGCACCTGTGGGCCTTCCCTGCGGGGCCTCCACACTCAGTGTGCGGGTGATGTGTGGGTCAGCTGCCGCTGGTAACAGCACGCCCCAAAGCTTCATTGTTAAGCCAGCACAACCGTATTTGTCTACAGTCTGGTCAGCAGTTTGGCTGGGCTCATCTGGGGGGTTCTCCCGCTGGGCGGGCCTGGGGTCACGCTGGAGTGTGCCTGGTCAGCCCATGGGGCCAGGGGCCCCGAAAGGCTGCTCTGTCCTGTCCGGCACGGCTGCCTGCCCTTGGCCCCATGGCTCAGATCTCGGGCCTCAAGGCGGCCAGCCCGGCTTCTTTCCCTGGTGGGCCGGGGGAGGAGCGGCCGGGGAGAAAAGGGCAGGTTCGATGCACACACATGTCACAAGTCTCTGCTTCTCGTCTGCACATGCCACAGTCAGAGCACGTCACAGCCACGCCTTGCTCGGGCCAGAGAGACAGAGTCATCCCTCCTTGGAGGGGCTGTGCGGTCACACTGCAGGAAGCTGGCCGAGAGAGGGCTCCATCCTCATGGGCTCAGCCCCGGGACCAGGCAGGGGGAGGGACATCAGGTGGAGGGAGCCTGGGGTGCAGGAGTGAGAGGAGGGAGGGAGTTGCTCCTTCATTTACCTGCTTGTCCATCCCCCAGTCCTCACTGGCTGTCCCAGGCCCTGGGCCACTCCGGGGATGCCCAAGGGAGGGCAGACTTAGCGCCCTGGGCTTGCAAACCCCCAAGGGAGGGCTTGGGCTGCAGAGATGAGAGTGTCCGTCATGGCAGTGGGGCGGGAAGGAGCCTGGGTGTGCTCTGGCAGCAGGGGGGCCATGTCCTCGGGCGGCCGGGGCCTCAGCCTGCGAGGTAGAGTGGGCCAGGGTGCCCTGATGTCCGGCTCCAATCCCCTGGCACTACAGCAGGGCTCCAGGAGCACCGAAGGGCTGCCCCCTGCCACACACACCTGCCGTTGCCCGCCTTCTGGGGGAACGTCTTTGCTGGGTGCGGGGGTCTGGCTGTGGCTGTGCCCTTGGCGCGGAAGCCGCGGCCACAGGGCCTCTCATGCTGACACTGCCGCGCGCCCCTGGACTTCCCGGAGTGTGAACGTGATCAGTTCTTTCCCTTAGGATTCCAAGTGGGTCGAAGAGAAGCAGCTGCTCATCAGGACGAACCAAGACTTGCTGGAGAAGGTACGTGACGTCCGCACCCCGCCGAGACCCCACACCCGAGGTCGGCCCACACCGTCTCTCCCTGCGCCTCTTCTGGCCCCGGCCCAGCCCTGGCGGCTCGAGCGCACACGGGTGAGGCGAGGGCCCGGCCTCCAGCCCCCTCCCACGGGGCGCGAGGGTGCAGCAGGGTGCAGTGCGTGGCGCTGGCAGAGCCAAGCCTCTGTCTCCCCTCCTGCTCCCCCGCCTGCTCATGGAACTTTTCAGCACTCTCTCAGGAGGTCTGTGTGGGAATAGAACCATTTTAGCTTCTTCTTCCTTGAGTGCATACAGTGATTCAGTGATTTTTTTTTTTGGTGGGAAATTTACCAAGTTTGGGCGGCTGTTGCCACTGTGCAGCATTAGAAGTTTCTCTGCCTGGCACAGGTCCCTCGTGCCCACTGGCGGTCACTCCCCCTCCGCCCCCACCCCCGGCCACCCACCTGCCTGTGAGTTTTCCCGTCGGCACCTGCTAGCTGCAGAGCCCCACACTGCTCTCCTCCGAGACCTGGCCCGGCCCCCAGCTCTGCTCTGAGCAGGGCGTGTCCTGTGTCCTGCACATGGGGCTCATGCCACACGCCTTGAGTGCCGGGACAGGCTTCCAGGTCCTTGGCCTGCAGGCTGCACCCTGGGAGCCAGGGAAATGCTGTCCTCTTTCCAAATGTCGGCGGAGGTGGGGCAGCCCCGCCCCAGTGGAGAGCCTCTCTCTGCTGTGCTGCCACAGGGAGGGAGGAGGCGGTGGCAGTGCGTCACAGCCCCCTGCCCCCGGTGCACATCTCAGTGGTCTCGGGGTGCCTGCCCCACCACCCAGTGGGGCTGCTGTTTCCTCCTCGGATGGGGACTGGCTCCTGAGCAGCAAGTGTTGCCCGGCCCAGCGGTCTGGCCGAGACACCTGCCTTTGCAGGTGGTTTCCCAGAGAAGGTCCCCCTCGAGGTTCTTGGGGAGCCCGCTGGGGAGTTTGGGGGAGGCTGAATTCCTCCTCAGTGCTGGTGATCTGTGGAGGGCCGCATTGGCAGGAACCCCGGCAGGCTTGGGGGTCAGAAGCACTGAATTGTGCTTTGCTTCCTCCCCATTGACCTCAGGGAAGGGACTGAATGGCTCCATGCCTCAGTTTCCCCATCATTTACTCAGCATGCATGTATAAGGAGCCCCTGCTCTGGGCCAGGCCCCCTGTGTGGGCAGGGTGTCTGCAGTATCCTGCACACCTGCCCCAGGGCCTGGCCCTCCTCCCCACCCCAGCGGCCGGCCAGTCCGTGGGCTGCAGGGAGGGGGTCCCATCAGAGACCGTCTCTGGGGGAGACGGAGCGGCCCCCCCCCCGCCATTAATCCCCAGGTATTTTTGCTCTAGATTTACAGGCTGGAAATGGAAGAGAACCAGCTGAAGAATGAAATGCAAGACGCCAAGGATCAGAACGAGCTGTTAGAATTCCGAGTGCTAGAGCTGGAAGTAAGAGACTCTATCTGTTGTAAACTCTCAAACGGAGCAGACATTCTCTTTGAGCCCAAACTGAAATTCATGTGAAGCCCCTGTTTGCAAGCATGTGTCAAGGGGACGTGTTAGAGTGGTTTCTTTTTTTCTTTTTTTAAATCTGTATGTTCAGAATAATTTCACTGCCTTAATATGTTCTGGAGAGAATGCTCACCGAAGTCTTTGGACCTGTACCAGAGCTAATATATTTATTGCCTACGGCTTGTTTTGCACTTAATAAAATAATTTGTTTTTGCAATAGTTTGCCTTTTTGATTTGTGTTTCATTTCCATAACTACTTCTTTCCTGCATGCATAGTCACCTGGTATGCCTTCTGCAACCTGGACAGAAGCAATTAATAACACACCTTTTTACGTGACCTTGCATGCAGTGAATCTCACTTTTGAAAGAGCAGGGTCTGACCCAGCCCGTAACTGACTCTATAGTGTGTTGACTGCTGGTGTCGCTCATTTTCTCTTTGCCCAGGTAAACACAAGGTAAGTAAAGACAGGGGAGAGGAGGGATTTGCATAGGTGGCTAAGAAGCTAGTTCCAGGGCTCCCAACCTTTCATCCGGTGCACGTAGATTCGGGCAGCCCCGCCTGCGATTGGATTAGGACAGTGGCCTTGTCACTCAAGCTGCAACTTCAAACTCTGACTTTGCATGGAGGGAGGAGGCTGACTGTGGCTCTGCAGAGCCCCTGTTCTGAGCCCCCCAGGGCGTCTTGTGCAGTTGGACCAGACCAGGACTCTGGGGGTCTCCTTGCTCCTAGCAGACCCGCCCCAGGTGTTGCCTGTGGTCTTCCCGCCGAGTCACTTCATGATACTTTGGCTTGTTGTTTCCCGTTTAAAAATCATCCACACCTTCAACGTCACCTGTGTGGGACTCCCTAAGCCCTTCTGTGACCGAGCCCTGCTCCCCCACAGCTGACCCCTTGCATGTGCCCTAAAAATGAGTGCCTTCGTGGCATCCGTGAGCCTCTGATTTTCTTTGCTCCTCCTGCTTCAGTTCAGGCCCTGCTCGCACTAGACCTGCCACCTCCACCTGCCCTGCTCATGCAGCGTGGACCGGCCTGGGCCTCAGACCCCAGTGCGCTCTGTGCTGCTCTGCCCTGGCTTGACGTGAACCCAGTTTCACCCATGCAGCGGAATTGCAGGGGCTCAAGTGTCTTTTTCATGAGGGTTCCACAGGCCTTGCTCACTTTGCCAGAATGTTCTTTAAGTGCCTCCACCTTCCTTCGGAGCCCTTAGAGCCAGCTTCTGGTTCCTGCTGCTACGAAGCAGCTTTCTGTGTCGCCTTTTCTCTGGAGACGCCGCTGGCACGAGCACCGCGTAAGGCGTCCTCAGACCTGGCGCGGCCCTTGTCCTTGCAGGCTAATGAGGGACGCCAGGTGTTTCTCTAACCCGTTTCCAGCCAGGCTAGCCAGCTGGGGCCGGGTGGAAATTAGTTCATGCCCACGCCCTTGCTCTCTCCTTTCACTTCCAGAGCCCAGGCCTGGGCCCTGCCCGCTGCGCCGGAGCCCACCGTGGTTCTGTTCCTTAAGAGCCCACCAGTGCCCGGCGAGCTGCGGGCGTGGCCCAAGGTGGGCTTGTTGATGCGCCTGTAATTTTGAGAAAATTGAAACAGCTTGATCTCAGGATGTGGTTTGAAAAGGCCCTCTTTGCTGGCCTCCATCACTGGCCTGTCCGTGGCCCGAGGCTTTGAGGCAGAGCCAGCTCTGCTCTGCCTGGCCCGCCTGGCCCTGGGCTTCTCTGGTCCGGCGGGAGCCTGTCCCTTCACAGGCGATGACCAGCAGCTCTTCTGGGGCAGGGTTTGCCCCCCTGATTTCGCGGCTGAGGTTGGCTAGATCGGAGGCAGGGAGATAAGGCCGTGGGTGCTCACGCTGTTCAAAAACAAAAAAACACCCCAAAAGTGAGTGCAGTCAGGTCATCAGGAAAGGAAGGGATCCCGATCTTGGCCTCCCTGAGCCTCCACGCCATGTGGGCTGGCATGGGAATGGGGTGAGGTGAGGGTGCCGGCCAGGGTGGGCGCTAGGCCACGGGTGAGGCCTGGGTGGCTCTGCCAGCCACAGGCACCCCGCCCTTGTTCTGTGGCTGATTTGGGAAGCGGTGACTTCGCCTCCTAGCGGGCTCTGTGCGTGCTGCTAACCCTTTCCTCCTAGCTGACTAGGTGAGCCTCGACGGGCGTCCAGGGAGTGGCTGTGGTTGAGGGCTGCCAGCCCTGTGGAGACTGTAGGCCCAATGCCCCTTTTTCATAACACGTTTGCCAACTGGAACCCTTTGGTTTTTGCTGAGTAACATGGGAAAATGGCAAGTGGTAAATAATCCAATAAAGTTCTGTTTTTAAACCAAATCTTTTCCCCAGGAGAGAGAGCGGAGGTCGCCTGCATTTAACCTCCAAATCAGCACCTTCCCCGAGAACACCAGCAGCGCGCTCCAGCTGTTCTGTCACCAGGAAGGAGTTAAGGTAGCGTGCGTGGGGCCTCCGCTAGTCGACAGCCACGGCCGCCCGTCCGGCTGGCAGAAGGGGGAGCGCGGTCCCGTGCAGGGGAGAGAGCCCGCCGTAGCCAGGTCTCCTAGCCCTCCGCCACCTCTTAGGGGTCCTAGCCACCAAGCGTGGCACTAGTTTGGCCCATCTTAAAGAGCAGAGACCTGGGAGGCCGCTGCACCACTCCCCGCTGGGCCTGTCACTGCTGGGAGCCGCGTCCCCTCTCCTCTGGGCTCTGGCGGCAGTGCCCGCCCGGAGGTGCCATGAGCAGGGGCACCCAGCACCGTGCCTGGCACGTGGAGAGGGCGTCCATCCATACCCTTTGCTAACAGCAGTGTGTGCTGCGTGCGGGTCCTGCCAGGCCCTGTGGGCACCGGGGGCTCCTGACCCACATGGCGACACGGGCCTTTCTAGAAAGCAGCCTTCGTGCTGGTGTGAAGCTCAGCAACGCAGCGGCAGCTCCCCGCTCCTGCCCCTCCTCCCGGACCCGAGAGGAAAGCCGCCCGCTGTAAGTCCTAGGACAGGGCCAGGCTCGGAGTCTGGCCGAGGCGCGAGGCTGTGGCTGTAGAGAGTGTCTGGATGCTTTTGTAACTGACACGACAATGAACGTTGGCAATCTCTTCCAGGATGTGAATATTTCTGACCTTATGAAGAGATTAGATATCCTTGGCGATAACGGGGTAACTATGAGCGGCCAGTGTCTGGCTCCGTGTTCTCGTTTTGGTCCGGGCGTACTGTGTGGCTTTGTTTGTTGTGTTTTCATTTATTCCTAATTTAAGAGAGCTACTAAGTCCAATGTAAGGCTTTTGTATGGCCGTGTTCCTGGGGGGTGGGGTGGGGCCCCATGTGTCAGAAGTGGGGTTCTGAAGCTAGGTCATGCTGCGAACCTGTGAGTGATGGGGCCAGTGTAAAAACAAACACCCCAAAAGAAAGTGTGATCACTCGGGATTTCTGAAACCAGATGGGACCTTTGCCTCCCCACGAGGCTGGCTGGGACAAGGCCCTCCTTGGAGTCGGCTCACTCTCTAGCTCACGCCCCGCACAGGCCAGAGCCCAGATCCGTCCACCTGTGGACGCTGGCATCTTAGTGGGGTGACCCGGTGCCGCCCGGAGGGGCGTGCCAGCCGTCTCGCACTGACTGTCTGCACGCGGGTGTGGGGTCCGGTGTCCAATGCCCATTTTTGTGTTTTAGAATTTGAGAAATGAAGAGCAGGTTGCAATAATCCAAGCCGGAACTGTGCTTGCCCTGTGCGAAAAGGTAGAGCCCGGCGGTGTCCGTCCTGCACCCTGTCCACGCCCAGCACCATACAAGATACTGTACATTGATGTCTGGCTTGGCGGGAGCATGGCCCCGGCAGTCTGCGTCTGCATGCGCACGTGCACGCCTCGTCCGGCGCCGCGGGCCTGAGGCCTCGGAGGCCAGGCCGCGCGGGGAAACGCCTGGCTTTGGTGCCGCTCCTCTCGGCCGTTTTCTGTGCTTTTTTATTTTTTAACTTAGAGGCCATCGTTCTCGACTCTGGTTCTTATCCTGCTTCTTAACGCCCCGACCCCAGTCATTTCGAGGCCCCGGGTTTCCCACCGCCCTTCCGTCCCACGTCACTTAACCGTCCCGCCGCGGGGGATGCCGAGGGCGTCTCCACCTCCCGCCCCATCACAGCCAGGCAGCTGTGGACACCTCGCGCCTGTGTTTCTACCTGTATTTTGAAACATTTCCAGAGAGCGCAACCCTAGGCTGATGGGTAAGAACGTATGAAAGAGTTTGAGCATGTCAGAACGGTTTCCAGAAAAGTGGTACCAATTCTTCCACCTGGAGAGTTGCCACCTTGCTGGTTTCCTGCTCAGCCCGCAAACAGCGCCTGACCCACCACGCGCCTGCGCGCCGGACGCTGTGTCTGTGTGTGTCTCTGTGTCGCTCCGTGAACTGTAATTACATTTCTCTTGACAAGTTTCCATCGGCTTGGTTTGTCCTTCATTCATTCACACCTCCGCCCATTCGATGTGTCACCGTGGTTGTCCTTCCGGGTTTCCCTGCGTGCTTTCCCTATGAGAGATGCTAACTTTGGCCATATGGGTTGAACATACATTCCTGGTTTGCTTGCCTTTTACATGAGGGTATTTTAGACGTGCACAAGCTGTGATGGCCTGGTCTGCGCAGCTCTTCCTTTCAAAGCTCATCAGTTCCACTCTGAAATGCCATGTTAACATGCTAATCATTAGAGCCCGCATCCTCCAGCATCCTAGAAGGACACTTAAAATAGAAATTCTTTCCCAGGCTCCTGTCTTCCCCCCCCCCCCACCCCGGCGGGTAAGAGGCACCGAGTATTGGTAACGAAGCCCTGCCTGAGGTCACACAGGTGGGAAATTGCTTCCCAAGTCACTTGACCTGGCTGGGGCTGCGACCCAGCTCACTCACCCCCGGCGGCTGGGGTGCTGCTGCTGATCGTGCCAGGCGCCTGGCCCGCAGCCGGGAGTGGCCCCTTCCCCAGCAAGCCCTGGCCTGGGCGGCAGGTCTCCCATTGCAGTGCAGCGGGGCGCCACGTGGAGTGTGGAGGGGAAACAGCGACTTGGTTTACCCAATACTCACCCTCGCCAAGCACGCCCTGGGGGGTGTGGGGCTGCCAGACCCGCCGGTGCCCTCGGGGATCCCTCCTGCTTGACTCCCAGCCCCCGCCCACCCACTTCAGGGTCGCTGTAGGTCGCCTTGAAAGGGTCGCCTTGTAGGGTCGACCTGAGCCCCAGGACTGAGGGCTGCGTTCCCCGAGGGGCCAGTGCCAGGACTCCCTCCAGGACACGCGCCTTTCCCCCCCCAGAGTACCCTGGAAGCCCGTGGCCACGCTGAGAGCAGCCAGTGCCTGGAGCCCACCCCCCAGCCCCTCCCGGGACGCCCCCAACTCCCCAGTGGCCGGCCTGCCAGGCACACAGGCTCCTCCTGCCCCGGCCCCTTGCGGCCCCGTGTCCTCCCACACACTGCCTGAGGCTTGCGTGCGGCTCCCTGGCTCCGTGGAGGAAGTGGGGTCTGCCGGCCCACTCTACATCTGCGCCCCGCCCCGCCCCAGCCCTGTGCTGGCTGCTGCCTATCTGCTGCTGACCCCAGGGTCCCCCCAAGCCAGTCATCTTGGCGTCTGCTTGTGCACCAAATGCTGAGAGCTGTGCCAGAGCCCTGGCCTGCCAGCTCCCCCAAACCCCACCAGGAGGGGGCAGAGCCCTAGCTGTGCCAGTGTGGGGATGTCCGTCCAGGACATTCCTTGGGGTCTCTAGACCAGCATGTTCTCATTCTCTCAGGCATGAGCCCGTGAATACAGCTCAGGTGTTGGGGGGCTGTGGCATGTCCCCCCGTGGACCAAGAGCGCCATCAAGATAGGTGGTGCGACCAACAGCCCAGGACCTGGGGGTTTAAGCTCAAACTGGGGACAGTGCCAGGAAAACAGGGATAAGGTTGTCACCCTAGAGGTGACAATGCCTGAGAAGAGCTGGTGGCAGGACCAGCACCTTAAGAGTGCTCCATCAGGCCCCAATGCACCTCCTTTTTTAAACTGTCACTCAGTGCTAGCATCCGACCAAACTGAGGCCAACGGAGACCCTGCTTAGAGGCCCAGGCCTGGCTTAGCTGTGAGTGCAGTAGCCTCCGATCTGGAACGTTCCATGGTGTCCTGGGTGTCCGCTGCACGTAGTGTCTGCCCCAGGTGCCCGCCTCCTCCCGCCCCACCTGGCTGCTCAGGTGTAAGCTGCCCCTCCCCGGCCCCGCCAGCCCCACCTCTGGCCAGCAGTATCCCAGGTCAGGGCCAGCCACACACCCGCCGCGCGTGCCCTGGGGTGCTTGGACACAGACGTGGGGGCCTTACAGTGGTCCTGAGGCCCCCTTCTGCGTCAGGTCAGGACCGTGTCCCTGCTGCTAACAGTGGTCCGGGCAGTGCGGCCTGGCCTGAGGCACCACACTAGCTTCTGTCGTTGGCTGGAGCCAGGCCTTGGGCCCTCTTGGAAGGAGAGTTGGGTCTCGAGGGGACCAGCCCCACGCCCCCACCCCCACCCCGGGATCAGGGTCCTGCATCTCTGGGAAGACAACTGCTGCCGAGGGGGGCACATGGCCGCGTCTCCCCGCCCCCCGGGACTAGCTCCTCACCCTGAGGGGAGTCCCTCCCCCTCCCTCCCGGCCAATCCCTGTCCCAGGGAGCCCTAGCAGATGCCTGACTGACTTGAGGATGTGAAATTTGCAGCCTCACGCCCAAGGGACTGTGCCAGCGTTGCTGTCCCGCTGTGCCCGCCCAGTGGCTGAAGGGGCTTGTCCAGGTGTCCTCATAAGCATGGCGAAGCTCTCTCTGTAACCATAGAAACCCCACACCGCGGGGTAAACTGGCCTGAGAGCGGCTTGTCACAACAATTCAAGCCTGGATTTCCCACCTTCCTGTATTCACTGTGTGGCGCGCGGTGTGGGTGTGGACGGTGAGGTCTTTCTCATCACCGTGAAAAGATGCTCACCTGTGCCCAAGACCGGCCTGGCCCCCCTCACGAAGCCTCGTTGGGGCTCTGCAGGCCTCTGCTGTGGCCCTGGCCCCCGTCGTGGGCCGAGCTAACGCTGAGGCCTCTGGTGGGGCGGCCTCGGGACTGTGGCGTCATCGGCCGCGTTCCCCTGGAGCCAGCGCACCCGCTGGGCCGCCACGCCCTCGCGCCCGCCTGTGTGCAGCAAGTGCTTCCCCCAGTCGCCCGCTTGCGGCCAGGCCCTGTGCCGGGTGAGGACATTTAACAGAACCAGGCTGATGTGGTTCCCGCCCAGGAGGCTAGTGGGGGAGCAAAGCAGACAGCAGCAATCTTCAGGTGAGTGCTGAGACAGGTATCCGCTGGTGGCCTGGGCACCTAGAGAGAGCACCTGGTCCCGTGGACTCAGGAAGCCGGCAGGCTTCCTGGAGGAGGCAAAGGCTTACTTGGGCTGAAGGTTGAGTAGGTGTGAGCTCCTAAAGGCTGGGGTAGAGGCTGGATATTTGCAGCACAGCGTGTGCAAAGGCCCTGTGGTGCAGGAAGACTTGTCTTGTCTGCCAGCATTGTCCAGAGGTGGGCTGTGGGGCAGCCTGGGAGCAAGGAGGGCCACCCATGAGTGTGTAGTTGAGAGAACATGTTGCCTGGAGCACAGAAAGGGATTTGGGCTAGACATGAGCCTGGAGGTTCCTGGGTACGTTCAGGGTGGGAGTGAGAAATGGCAGGAACCATCACCTGGGAGGTGAAGGGCAGGCGCAGCCAGGAGCCGCTCCCAGCTTTCTGGTTCAGGTGAGACGGGACTTTTCCCCAGTGCAGGGAGAACGAGGGGCTGAGAGCCCTGCCTGGGGCCCTGAAGTGAGCCATGCCCGGGGTCAGGGGTCAGGAAACCCGGGTGACAGCAAGAGAGTAGAGACGGGAGTGGGGAGGTTAGAGAGAGGGGACTTGGAGCGAGAAGGGAGGCCAAGGAGTGGTGGGTGAGGGTGAAGAGCTGCCGTCAGTGGAGGAAAATGGGTGCGTGGCAGCTCAGGGGTTCTGGGGCATCGTCAGGAAGGGCAGTGGCCCACAGGCGGGGATGGCAGGGGGGCAGCTGTGAGGGGGAGACAGGCGCTCAGCTGGTTGTGAAGCCAGGCCCCCTGCCAGTGCCCAGGCCTCCTCACCCTCCTGCTGTCTCTTAGGCGGCTGCTGTACTCCTGTGCCCCCAGTAAAACAGCGCCCCACCTGCCACTTGCTCAGACCTGGAACAGGCCCATCTCCCAGCCTCACCTGCCCGCCCCAGGTGTGCGCCCCCCTGCTTGCAACACCCTCACAGCCAGGCCTCAGCCCTGAGGGGCTTCCACACCCTCCACCCTGCACAGCTGGACCTCCCTTCAGGCCTGTACCCAACAGCGCACCTGGCTGCCCGCTCAGACACCCTGAGCAGCTGCAGGGGTGCAGTTCAAAACTCCCTACCTGTGTGACCTTGGACAAGTGGCTTGGCCTCTGCGTCTTCCCCTGCAAAGTGGGGTGAGGCTGCCTACTCCATGGGGTGTCTTGAGAGGGTAGATGAGGCTCCAGGTGTGAAGCTTCCAGCACAGCAGGGAGGTTGCAGCACCACCTGCCCAGCTGGTGAGCCCCCGACACAGCCTCCTGCTCTGAGTCAGGGCCCCATGGTGCGCCGTGGTCCATGCCGGTGCCCTGGGCACACGCTTGCCCTCCTCCTCCATGCACATGAGCACACATGTACGTCCGTGACCTGGTGGACCCCTGTCGAACATCTGTGCATGCCATGCCATGTCAACGTGACAGGGCCCCCCGGGACAGGCAGCCTTGTTCACCAGGAGGCGGCACGCTCGGCTTTGGCACAGCACGCGGGTGCCACCCTCACTGGGCCTCCTCCTGCCCCTGCTGTCTTGCAGTGGCTGAAGCAAATCGAGGGCACTGAGGCGGCGCTGACCCAGAAGATGCTGGACCTGGAGAAGGAGAAGGTAAGACCCCCGGGGGGATGGGACGACTGGCGTCCTGGCTGGCTGGGCGCGCATCTGCCCGTGTGTCTGTCTCAGGACGTGGCTGTTCTGCGATGCTCCCGCCCGCCCACCAGTCTATGATCCACTCAGGCGTTTAACATGTTTCGGGGCCTCTGTGTTCTCAGTGCCAGGCCAGGGTGGGTTCAGACAGGACTAAGCGGGACCCTTGGAGTGGAGCTTCAGACCGGGGTGGGGAGGGGGCATGTGATCAGGAGCCGACATCTGGCTGCGGTGCCGGCTTTCGGAGGCTCTTGGCCGAGGGGCTCCGGAGAGGCAGACGGGGCAGGCGGCCCTGCCCCCCTTACTGGCCACTGCGCTTGGGAAAGACCCTCGTTCCCTCTTTGACAATCTGGGAGCTCCATCTCTGGCTCACTGGCTGGGAGGGTGGGGTCCATTAGAAACAGGCTGTTTGTGCCCCCGGTACCTGATAAACGGTGGTGCGGCCCCTGGAGCTCTGGGCAAACGGGGGAGACATCTTGCCCACCCAGAAGTCAGAGATGGTTCCCAGGGACGAGGCTCATGAGGCTTCAGAGACCAGCGTGTGTTTCCAAGCTGAGCTGAGGTGAAGGCGGAAGGCAGAGGAACAGCACGAGGCCCGGGCAGTGGGGCGCGTGCAAAGAGCAAGAGAGGAATTGCAAGGCCTGGCGGGAGCCCTGCCTCTGTGAACTGGGGCGTCCGGGCCGCACACAGGGCCTCCCTGGCTCTGCTTCTCCATCAAGTGGCTGCGTTTGATGAGCTCTAAACTGAAACCTCAAGTCAAGAGTCAGAAAGGATTTGCAGAGAGGTCCTGCTTGCAGGGCCTGCCTGGAGGGTGGGGTAGGGGTGGGGCAGCAGCGAGACCAATGGGGAAGTAAGTGACACCCAATGGGGGAGAAGAGCCCGGTCGGACAACTATTGAGTTGGTCTCTGGGGAGCCTCAGGGTGAGGCAAGAGGACTTAAGAAAGATTCCCATGATCTAGGCCTTGGGAACCAGGTTGGAGGGGTGTCCTTCCATTGCAGTCAGGCACCCGGGAGGAAGGGATTCAGGACCAGTTTGATCAAGGTGTTTGGGCCTGGGAGTCTTCTGCTAGAGGTTCACGCAGGGCAGACAGCCCACACCTGGCCCTTCTCGCCTGAACATCCCCGACTCGGGGGGACTGACTCTAGCAAAGGGGGTAGGTTGCTTCTTGGACTAATCTTGGTCCTTGTTGGTGCCTCCTCTTTTTCAGGACCTGTTCAGCCGGCAGAAGGGCTACCTGGAGGAGGAGCTGGACTACCGGAAGCAAGCCCTCGACCAGGCTTACCTGGTAGGACCAGAAGTGGGTTGGACACTACTTTTTCAGACTCAACACAGAGGCTGCCTTTTCCTTTGGGGCTGACACTGCACTTGGGGTCCTTGCTATGCTGGGAGGGAGCCCCCAAAATGCCATCTCCACCTGTGCTGTATATTGTTGCTTTTTCCAAGTTCATCACGATTTTCTGTGACCGAGCAGAAAATCTACCTGACATATGCAGATCAGATCAAAGTACTTGAAAAATCAGGCTTCTTTGTGAATTTATTGGCAAGGAGGGAAATTTAAATCTATGTCCCCAATTAAGAAAGGAAATTGGGTTATATAAGTTTGGGGGACCAGGGCTGAGAACAAAAGAGTTAAATTTGATGGGCTGAAAGGTGAGTAGGGGGCAGAGAAGCTTCAAATGTGGCTGAAGTTTCTTGGCGGGCCAGGCAGTTCACACATGAGGAAGGAAGAAGAGGCTTTTCTGCAGATACTGGAGTTTGGGGTTTCTGCGGGTGGGCCCCGCCTCTGGGTGCCCCCTCAGTCTCCAGCCGCCTGGGAGTTAGCGAAGGTTGTTTGCCCGTTTGCTCAGCCCAGTCAGATAACTGGGTCTCAGTAAATACCAGCTTCCAAGAGAAAGCTGACAGTTCCTTTTGCTTTTCTTTGTGCACATCGGGCCTGAGGCCAGTTTTACCCCCACCCTCTGCTGCAGCCTTGCTGGTGTCCTCACGTTGGTTCTTTCTAGTCGAGGCATCATTTGAGATGCTGAAAAGGAACTGTCTTTCCCACATGTTTGTTTACGCTTAAGAGTTTATTTACGCTTCACCCCCCACCGCCACCACAGAGTTCCCTGCAACAGGGAACAGGGCCCGGTCACTAAGGAGCACGGGCGGGAAAGCCATGAGCGAGGCCGGTGGTCAGAGCAACAGAGGCGCGTCCTAAGGCCATGCCACGTGCGCGCGCCAGCCCGGGCTCTGGGCTTCCTGGAGATGAAGGGAACGGCACCAAGTTTAGTTCGTACGGCGCAGGCTGGGTCCGCTGCTCCTGAGAGGGGGTCCCCCTGGGTGGGGCTGGGACCTGAGGTAACAGGCGTTTCAGGCGCGGCCACGGCAGAGATGAGCCAGCGGCCCCCTCGCCAGATGAAGCAGCGTCCCGGACCGGGTCCCCACAGATGTTCATCTCAAAATCATTTTACAAACTGGGGTTTGCCCGTAGGAAATGCAGAGTCGGTGCCTCCGGCCCCGCTGCCACGAGAGTCGGGGAGGAGAGCGGGCAGCCGGCGCGCAGGCTGCCGGTGCGGCTGGGACAGCTGTCCACCTCCCGGACCTTGGCGCCCATGTCCAGGCTCTGAGGCCACGGTGGGGGCAGGAGGCGGAGGTCTGCCCCGAGCCCAGGCGAGGGGGGCACCCGCTCTCGGTGCTAATTTCTGGGCACACGCTGTTAGGGCGTGTTTGAGGAACTGAACGGAGTAACCCGTGTCCTCAGACGCGTACAGCAGGGTTGAGGGGGGCCGTCTCCTCGGCCCCCGCCCCGCCCCGCCCGAGACCTGCCCTCTGCTGTCCTCCGGGCAATGCCCTGGCGGTTACCGTCCCCCCTTTGAGAGCTTCCACTGTCTGACTTGGGCTGCTCAGAAAATCCAGGAGCTGGAGGCCACGCTGTACAACGCGCTGCAGCAGGAGCCGGGGCGGAGGGCCGGCGAGGTGCTGAGCGAGGGCCAGCGGGAGGACCTGCAGGCGGCCGTGGAGAAGGTGCGCAGGCAGATCCTGCGGCAGAGCCGGGAGTTCGACAGCCAGGTCCTGCGAGAGCGCATGGAGCTGCTGCAGCAGGCCCAGCAGGTGAGGGGGCGCAGGTGAGGGGGTGCAGGTGAGGGGGAGCAGGTGAGGGGCACAGGTAAGGGGGCACATATAGCTACTGCAGCAGGCCCAGCAGATGAGGGAGTGGGGCTTGGCACTGGGGTGTCACTCAACGCCCTCCCCCGCTCCTCCAATCCCTGGTCCCTGCAGCGCCCTGATCCCTCTGATGGTGCCTGGGGTCCCGGGCACGTTGGCTGGAGGGCTGGTATGAGGCCAGCGTCTTGGAGGCCAGCTCGTGCATCTTGCGTGGACACCCCCCTGCCACAGCAGGGTGAGCCCAGCGATGGGGGTGCAGTGGCCCCGCTGCTTCTGGATGATGCATTTAAGTGGAAGAGCCCCCTGCCCCGCTAGGTGGATACAGCCCGCCAGGGCCCGCTCGACCCCTCTTCCCCAGCAGCCGTGGCCTGTCTCAGAGTCAAGACCGACAAACCCTGTAGGTCTGGGCAGGATCTGCCTCTCCGTCCTCCACCCTCCTCACCTCTGTGCTCAAGCGCCGCCTTCCCCGAGCACCCACATAAAGCAGCACCCTGCCCTGCACCTGCCCATTTCTCTTGACGCCCAAGGTGCCTCCATGCCTGGTGGGGTTTTGCAATCTGTTTTCAAGAGCACACGCTGTGTGGCTCTGTCCAGGCGTTTCCAGAACAGCAAAGCCAGTGTTCAGTGGTGGAGGCTGCAGTGGCATCTTGGGGCCCGGGGACCCCGGGGTGGGTAGAGGAGGCACCGGCTGTGGGTCGCCCAGGGGGTGTTTGTGCATTTCAGTGCTCGTGGGCCGCTCCGGGATCTGAGACGAGGAAGCAGCGTTGAAGCTGGAAACTTGTGTTTCCTGACATGGAGTTTCGTGTGTTTCAGAGAATCCGAGAGCTGGAGGATAAGCTGGAGATCCAGAAGCGGCACCTCAAGGAGCTGGAGGAGAAGGTGGGTAGTCGGGCTTGGCACCCCGAGTTTCTGGTCTGCCCCTTAGCTTGGGGGCTTTTCCCCTGCTGCCAGTTTCGTCATGCCCAGGGAAGAGCTGCTCGAGTCCTCCCTCCTCGGCCCCTTCTGCCCTCCCCAGAACGAGAACATTCAAAAAATGTAAGTAGCTCCATTAGGTGCTTTTCAGCAGGAAGACGGAAGCACAGTCCGGGGGCTGCTCCGCATGTGTGTCAGGCAAGAGGCGGGGCGGGGGGGGGGCTCCTGTTTTTCACAAAAGATCTTTTGCTCTTGACTCCGCCCCACGAGGCAGGCAAGTGGCCCTCTCTTTTATGAGCAGACAGATGAAAAGGTGACCGGGCTGGGATGTCCACTGGCGGCGGGGACTCTGGCTGTCCCTCCCATGGCCTCATCCATCTTAAACGACTCCCTGTGGCAAAGCCACTGCGTGTCCCTGGAAGTGCCCTCCCCCCAGTGACGGCCAGGGCACACTAGGCCCCAAGGGTCAGGTGTTGAAGCTGGAAACTTCCTGACACGGACAGTTATTTGCATGTTACAAGCGAGGAGGCAGCCGGAGACCCACCCAGACGCGGCTCCATGACCCCACGGAAGGTCGGGGTCTGCAGACACGGCCCCCGCCTGCACCAGGCAGTGATCAGGGTAGACAAGCAAGCCTGTGGTCCTTTGTCACGGCACTGACCACTTCCTGCTTGGCCCCCGGTGGCCATGAGCTCCTGGAGGACATGGGTCAGCTTCTCCCATCGCCTCTGCAGGGTCGTTCTGCCCATGGAATGGGGCGGCATGGAATGTGGAGGAGCACACGAGACACGGCGCTGTGTCGGGGCAGGCTCGCTGGTTACAGGGCTGGTGCTGCCCGGCCAGTGGGGCCACGTGCTGCGGGGGGAGTCTGAACCCTGCAGGACGGGTGTGATCACCCACGGAGAAGAGGGAGAGGGACTTTCTGGGCTTCAGCTGTTGGAGGAGAATCTTGGGAGGGACAAAGTGGCCGACGTCCCCAAGTCGCCAGAGGGAAGAAGGGGGCTCCTGCCAGCTCCCTGGAAGCCCTGGAGGGGCTTCAGGCCCACGTTCTCCCACCTCCCCTTCCCAGGCTATTTTGAAGACCCAAGGGAGCCAGGCTTGGCTGTTCTGGTTGTCCCGGTTCCCTGGGATAACCTGGCTTGGCAGACAGTTATACCTATGCCGCCCTCCTGTTGTCCCCAACCTGAGATGCTGGGGTGTCTGCCCCTCCTGTCCAGCCTGGGTGTCCTCATCCGCACCCATCCCCTAGGGTGGGTGTAAGGACACCTCTAGATCCCTAGGGTGGGTGTAAGGACACCTCTAGATCCCTAGGGTGGGTGTAAGGACACCTCTAGATGGAGGAGGGGAGACCCCGAGCCCCAGGCCCAGATGCTGTGGGTCCCCGACCTCCCCCCTACACCGCCCCGGCAGCTTTAGGAGTTTGTCGGAATACTGGGTCACAGAGGAAGAGATGACAGGAAAAGGCCTGAAAACACACTCCAGCTCTTCCTGCTGAGTGGAACAAGTCAGGCCCGACAGGCGTGCGTGAAACAGAGCTGGCTGCACTCTGTCTGTCCTTCGCGGGAGGAAAAATCAGTGTCAGGAAATGTCGGGGTCCCCTTTTGGTTCTTTTTCACTCTTTCTCAAAGCAACTGCTTGGGGCAGCTCCCTCCCCTGTCCCAGCCGGCCTCCCGGGGGGGCAGGCGCAGTGCAGGCGGCATCTGCTTAGCCTGCAGGGCTGGATACATCCCCAGATGCGCCCTTGGCCCAGCACTGGCCTGGGGAAGGCCCCAGATACCCCTGGCTGGGGCGTGTGGCTGGCCGCCTCTGCAGGGGGCTCTGGGCCCGTCCCTCCCGGTCTCCGGTCCCCAGGTAGAAAATGAGGAGCGCGAGATCGCCAAGGTCCCTCCTAGCCCACCTGGCGTGATTCCAGACCTTGTTCAGAAGTTAGAGGCTGTTTGGATTCTGATTTTTTTCAATAATCATATTGTCTTGTTTTGGAAAAACTGAAAGAATTGTTTTCAAAAGCCCCTGAGGACCACCTAAAACCCTGCAAATCCTTCTGAGAGAGCGAGCCCCGAGCAAGCCACCGGCGGGAGTCCGCGCTCACGCGGCCGCAATGTTCTTCCCCCTCCGGTCATGCTTCTCCCTGTCGCTCTTTATTTCTTGTGCGTGCAGCCTATCAGATGACACAGAGGGTTTTAGGCAGTGACTGTCTGGGAGTGGGAGCCCAGGCCGGGGGGGCGCAGGGCTGGGGTTCTGCTGCGAGCTGACCTGGGGCTTGTGACCCGGAGGGGCTCTCCCCGATGGCCGTGCACACGCGTGCCCAGGCCCACGGCCGGCGGGGCCTTCCCTGTCGGCACTGCCCGGCCCTGTCCCATAGGAAGGTCGAACCTCAGCCCCACAGTGTCCGGGTCCCTGGTGAAAACGCCCCTGTGAATTGGCTGGCGTTTGGGCGGTGTGTGGGGACAGCCCCCCGGAGTGGACGAGCTTGGGGCTGAAGTCGGCCGCGGAGCCCCCTCCTCCCTGCCTCGCCTCGGCCCCCGCCCCAGGGTTGCTGTTCTTGTAAACTGCTGCCACCAAGCTCCGTGCTGCATATCTCACACCTTTTTTCTTTTCTTTCCCCCCCTCCATTTTCTTTTGGCCTTATTTTATAGTTTTTGTTCCTTTTCTTGTTTTTCTCACTAGCATTCATTCTGTGGCCTTGATGACTTCCGTGAGCCAAGAACTCGGGTTGGTATCCTTGTAGTTTCGTGGGGAAAAAGGGTGATTTTCTAGAAAGGAGAATTCTCCCCAGTTCTGTCCAGAACTGCCCCTCCTGTCTGGAGGAGGCCTCGTTATTGGCAGCACAGCACCCCGGCTCACTGGGCCTGGGGTCCAGGTGTCGCAGGCCCGTCCCGGCCCTGGGAGGAAGGCCAGGAGCGAGGATGCGGGGTCCTGCTCAGCCCCCAATTGCATTTCCTCCTGAAGGGGGGCTTGTGTTTTTCCAAAGGTCCTTTCTGCTTTGGCTTTAGTTTCTGGCATCACCATTGTCTGTGGGTCAGTTGGGTCTGGACCAGAGTGGGCTCCTGGGGTCACGCATCTGCAGGATCCGGGGGTGACAGCAAGCCGTGGCCTGCACACAGAATGCCCAGGAAACTACAAAAGAGCCCCCAGCTCCTGCCCTCCTCCCCACCCTTGACCCCTCAGGCCTGGTTCTGGTCCAGTGCCTGGCCCAGGGACTCCAGATAGCCCTGACCTGGGCATTGAGCTCTGTACGACTTACCCTGAGTTTGGCCTCGGCACCCAAGTCCAACGCAGTCTCCCCGGTATGAGTGCCCAGTTTGGGACCGGGCCACCTGACTCCGAGAGCTGGAGTTCTGCCCCTGAATCTAGCCCTGGCTGAGAGCCCATGAGCACTGGGCATGCTTGCAGTGCCACTGGCAGCCTGGACCCCAGCTGAGCTCTGGTGTCTCGTGGCCACCCCTGGCCTGACCGCTGCCCAAGTCCCTGAGCCCAGGGCCGTGCCCAGCCAGGGTGCAGTGTGTTTGTGCAGTGAGTAAAGGAGGACCAGGGCCTGTCCGTGCACAGTGGCCCTGCACTGGATGACAGGCCAGGGAGTCCAGTGTCTTTGGTTCCTGATTGCGGGGGAGGCCCCTCAGTGGGCTGAGCTGGGGTGTTCAGGAGGCAGTGGAGCAGGGAGGCAGATAAGCTGGGACTTCACCAACCATTTGACCCCTTGGTTCCTGTGTCATTTCGTATTCTTTTTTGACTTCACAGGATAGAAAAAGAGCTCATGGAATAAACTGAGTCCCTAAAGCACCCCAACCCCACACAAACCAAAATTCAACAGCCAAACAAGCTACTCCACGCCCAAGGATTGACGCCAGGATTCAGCTGTGCTGGGCGACAGCTCCGGGGATGGCCTGTGGCATCGATGGCTGGGTCCTGACTGGCCAAACTGTGGGCACTCTACAGGGATGATAGGGTTTTGTCAAGCCCGGGGCCACATCTGAGTCTTGACTGTGCCACCTCCAAGAGCCCCAGGGGCAGAGACCTGCAGACCAGGAAACTAAGTGCAATTACCAGAAGATGCGTGATGGGGGCCTGTTGTCTGGGGACAGGCCTGGCCCTGCTCAGACCCTGCATGCTCTGGGGCAGCGTGTGCCCACTGGACACAGACTCTGTACATCTGTCTTCATGAGCTGTGCCTGGGCATCTGGCGTCTGCAGCCAGAGTGTCCCCGCGACTGTCCCTGTAGTCTGAACCCTCGGTCAAGCCTTACTCAGCAAGCCCTCTGGATCCACATGCAGCTGGATTGCCAGAGAGTGCAGAACCCCAACGAGGGGCTAGAGCCTCAGTCCCCTAGAAGGCCGACCTCAGGTGTAAGGACCTGCTGAGGAAGAAATGCTGGGAGGGAGCATGACCCCTGGAGTGCTGGGGGGAACGAGGCCCCCTCTGCTGTGGTCTGAGCCCAGGTCCCCCAACCACAGGGACCCACCCTGGCCCTGGGAGACCAGCCCCTGAAGGGGCCTCCAGGAGACAGCTGGCGCTGGGCGGCTGAGGAGGAGGGCAGGACCCTAGCTGTGAGAACCAGGTCCAGGGGGAACATGGGAAGAGAAGTTACTCTCAGAGGCTGTTGTTCTTTTTCTGGGGTGAGAGTTGGGGGAACTTCTTCAGAAGAAGACACCTGCTTCCAAACTTTTAGAAGATGTCCAAAATCACAGTGGATCAAGTGAAAGCAGCGGATGCTTCGAGGTTGGAAGAACTGGCTGGCGGCAAGGATGGGTTGACCCCAACGACGGGCAGACTCACCGCTCTGTGGTTGCTGGATGGTGAGAGCAATCCTGTGCTTTCTAGTGAGGGAAACCTTTGAAGAAACAAAAATGGCTGAAACTCAGGCCACCAAGGGAATCAGTGGGGGGTGGAGGGGCTGAAAGTTCTCTGATGGGCAAACCCAGGATGGGAAAGGATATGGACATCAGCATAGGACAGCCTGGTCAGTGGGGACGGATGCCCACCCCAACCCTAGGAGGGGTTCTAAGCAGACACTGCGGGGCAGCTGAGAAGTGACTGTTCTGAGGCCCAAAGTATTGCTATACCAGCTCGCCCGACTCACCAACATCAGTGACCAAATATGATGGACTGATGTCTTTGCTGGAAGAAACAGGGCTCCTAGCGCTTGGGGCGGGGGCGGGCAGACCCGGGCTCGAGCGAGTGTGAAAGAGCATGCCTGCTCCTCTGGGGCTGTGGAAACAAAAGCAGCACCGCTCTGCTGGCTGCTCACGAGGCTGGGAGGTGCACCCAGGTCTCTGGGCTGTCCCGCTGCACCGAGCGTCCACCCTCTCCCCAGCGCAGGGACATGTGGAGCTGTGGTCCTCGAGCCCCTCGCCCCGTCCTGTCTGCCTGGCTCGTCCACTCCGACCACAAGACAGGAATGGCGTCGGCTCTGAAGCTGGACTCGCCTGGGTCCGGGCCCACCCCAGCCACTTCCCTGCAGTGGACACTGCACAGTACCTGCAGCTCGGAATCTTCATCTCTTCTTCTGTGAAATGGGGGTCTGAGTCCCCAGGCAACACCTCACAAGAGGTCTTTTTTGGCCATAACTACAGGCACCCGAGACTCCAGGCTGCTGGGGGAGACCAGCAGGCAGATGGCTGAGACCTCTGAGGGAGCCGAGGGGACCCTGCCGGCCACGGGGCCTTTCTCTTTGGCCCCAGGAGAAGGCGCAGGCGGAGGAACGAGGCTCCCGCTGGCAGGTGCTGGAGCCGCCCGACTTTGGGAGCCTGACGCCCCCAGGAGGAGCCAGCATTTCTTGTAAGGGTCCGGGTGTTGCTTCCAGGGTCCCCGCCAGGGACAGAGTCATTATCCTCAGGAACCTCGAGCACATAGGTCACCCCAAATCCACCTGGCCATTGGGGTGACCCTCCCTGGTTTTTCGTTTGTGTTAGACAAAGGCAAACGGAACTTGGGTCTCTAAGACAGGAGTGATTGTGCAGCTGGGGGCCAAGCACCCGCTGAAGTCGGCTCCTGCCCGTCTGCAGGAGCTGCCGGTGGGGGCTCTCTCCCCTGGGGTTTTACACTGCAGAGAGGGTGATTCCCAGTTTCTTGTGAAAGACATTCCTGGGTTAGACGCTGGCAAAAGCTTTATTTCGCAAGGGTTGACATGCCTTTCAGAGATGAAGAAAGAACTGACAAGTTTTTGAGAGTAAAAGCTCTAATAAAAGGGAGGGAGAGTCTCTTCCATTAATTTTAACAGGGACGAAGCCTCTTGTTTCTCGTTTTCCTTTGCCCCGCGTCACACTGCACCAGCCCTGACCCTCCCGCCCCGAGGCCCTGCCTCCACCGTGCCCATCCTCGAAGGAGCCCCTGGCCAGGGGCTCTAAATACTCCAGGGAACCCCGCACTGTCCTCAGAGAGACCCCGAAGGCCTTGACCTGAAGCTCAAGGCTGATCCCAAATGCGATGGAGTGGCCCTCCCTCTTCTGCTCCCCCTCCTGCCACCGCCTGGGGCTGGCCCGGAGGCTCCTGGCCTGAGGGTCTCGCCCCTCCTCCAGCTGGGTCTGTCCTCTTCCTCATGCCTGCAGCCTGGCTCCCTCCCCCAGGACACATTCTCAAGGGGGGGCGGGGCCGGGTGGGGTCTTGGTGTCGCCCAGATGTGAATCCTGATGCCAGCTCCCATCTGCGGTCGGGACAAGCCCCTCCACCTCCGGGGCCTCTGTCCCCTGCTCCACGAAGTGAGGGAGGGTGCCCACCCTCAGGCTGCGGGAGAGGTGGCTCAGTCTGGAGGCCACCCAGGCTGGCGTGATGCCCGCGGCACCAGCTGCCCAGCCCTCTGCCCGGGGACTCCAGGTCCTCGCTGGCTGCAGAGCCCACGCAGACGTGGCGCAGGATTCCACTGCCGTGGGGAGACCCCAGGTCCCCGCCGAGCCGACGCCTCCCTGTTGGCTTATTGGGCATTTCAGTCCACGTGACTTTTCTCGAGACTCTCGCCCTGGAGGGCCCCGCGTGTGTAAAACGAGACGCGTTCATCCATATTGCATGACGCCAGAGACCCGCTCATCAATAATCCACGCCCTGCCCTCCTGGAAGGCCTCCCCTGCGCGCCCGAGGCCGCAGCCAGCTCCATCTGCCGGGAGCCCAGCGCAGGCCCCCGCCCCGCAGCACCGCATCCAGGATGGAGGCTGCCCGAGGGCGGACTGAAAGGACTTTCCGCTACGTGGTCAGGGCCCCGGGCGGCGACGGCTCTGACGTGATGAACGTGGACATGAAGATCGACACCCGCTGGGTGTTCCAGGAGGCGGACGGGGGCGGCGAGGGCCCGGAGGAGAGGACCGGGAGCCCGGGCGCGGGCGAGGGGACCCCCCGGAGGCAGCTGGAGCCCCCGGAGCAGAAGCTGCCGGCGGCTGTGCACAGGCACGAGGTGGCGGAGTCGGGGCTGAGGCGCAGGTAAATATGTCACCTGGAGCCTTCGCGCGTCTACACCAGCGCCGCACCCTGTCAGGATGCTCAGGGCTGGCCGTGTCCTGCCTGCCAGCCCTGTCTTGGGTCCTTCTCTTTCCTGCCTCTGCTCCTGTGACGGGCGCTGAGCCTGCAGAGGGGGTCCGAGCTCCGCTCTGGGCCAGCTGACGAGGGGTGTAGGGAGCCGGGACCGCCCCCTCTGCTCCGCCATGTCTCTGGCTCTGCCCGCAACCCACTCGGCTTCCCGTGGCCCAGCTGGCGTGGGCAGCCTGGCCCGGAGGCCAGCAGCACCGGCTCCCCCAAGGGTCCCTCCCGCCCCAAGGGCAAAGTCGCCTCCTGCGGTTGCTGAGTGGCCGGTGGCGCTTCGGCGCGCCCGCCGTCGTCGTGATGGAGGATCTGCCTGTCTCCTGCCGCTGAGCTCCGGTGTGAGTTCGTGTTTCTGCAGGAGCTGACCCGGCCCACAGGGTGGGCATCTGGGTCCAGGCCATTCTGAAGCCCAAGCGGGTCCTGGTCACTGATACCAGGTCTCACCTCTCTCAGAGGCCCGGGGGAAGGCAGGGCCACCCGACAGCTCAGCAGCACCCCAGCTGCCAGGCGTCTTGGATTTGCCGGGACGGCCATTTTCTTGTCTTCCCTTCATTTAATAAAGGCGAGGCGTGAAGCGTGTATTTACATGGGATTCGCTTTTTCCTCCCGTCTAACACTTCTCACGCGGGGACAGCCCCGGGCCGGAAGCTACACCTCGGCTCTGTGATCGTCGGTTCAGCCGAGTGGGTTATTCGGTGACCTGCACCGATACCCCCGGGGGCTGCGAGACCCAGCTCAGCTGTCGCGGGTGCTGGGAGGCCCCCCCGGGCAGGTGGACACCGTGCCCTCCCGTGTCCTCTCAGGGCCATCCTTCTGCGTGTCTGTGTCCTCATCTCTCTCCCACCGGGACCCCGGTCACGTTGGATCAGGACCCAGCCCAGTGACCTCACTTTGACCTGATCACCCCATTAACACCTTATCTCAAAATGTAGTCACATGAGGTCGTGGGGCTTAGGCGTCCACATATGAGCTGTGTGGGGTCACACTTCTGCCCCCACATAAGCCTAGGACGGGGAGCTGGGAGACGGGGCCCTGGCCCGGGGGGCCCAGCAGCGCAGCCCACAGGTGGTCATGCCCCTGCACCTTCCTCCAGAAAAGTGGGTGCGAAGACCAGAAGCCGGTGATGGGCAGGAGACCCCCGCTGAGAGCAGGGGCTCCAGGACACATGGAGAGGCAGGGCCTCCGGGGCCGGGGCTGCCCTGGGCCCCCCTGGGAGGCGGGATCTGTGTCCTTCTCTGGAGAAGGGTGCTCACCTGGCGGCAGCGGGGCTGGTGGGAGGGGCCCCCAGACGGGTGGAGGCGGAGGCCACGCGTGGATTCTGTCACGCTCGTTCCAGATGAGGACAATGAGGCCGAGACGCATCATCCAGGGTCTTTAACAGCTGACGCCGGGGCCTGAAGGCCCCGTCTGGGTTTCTGGCTAGTGACACCGTGGGCTGGCGCAGCTGGGCGGAGCGCGTGGCGGGGCCTGCCGGAGCTCACTCCAATCACAGTGCTCAAATCCAAACATGGCTACGACAAAAACAAGGCAACGGCGCTGTCACAACTCACTGAGAGAACCTCGCCCCCTCCTACGGCACGTCCTGGTTCCTGCTCATGTCTGATCTCAAGGCCACGGCGGCCACGGCGGCCACGGCGTAGACACCACGAGGGTTCACGCCGCGCTGGGCACTGCCAGAGTGATTGACATGGATGACGGTTTCTGCTCGTTAGCTGAATCAATCCTTCACCCAAAAGCAACCCCTGAACTCAGAGGCTTCCTGAGTCCACGGAACTCAAGCGCGGGGCCATTAAGTGGCTTCTTCAGGATCGTGCTCCCCGTCGCGTGCGGGAACTTGGACTTGAACTTCCCAGAGGACGGCCGGCACCCAGGAGCCTGTGCCCAGGAGAGGAGCTGCCCGCTGCTGCCCTGAGGCAGTCCCTGGTCGCGAGGACTGGGCAGCTCAGCGTAGTCATCGCCGAACGCCTCGGTGGAGTCCGTATTGTGAGGGAGCGTGTCCTGTCACTGCTGGGACAGAGGACCACCCGCTGGGTGGCGTGACCAGCACAGCTGCGCCTCGCAGGGTTCTGGAGCCAGAGATGGAAATCGGCCTCCCTGGGCAGCATGAAGTTGGGAGGGCGCCCTGCAGAGGCTGCGACCGCCTCTTTGTCTTCGCTGCGTCCACACCTGCCTGCCCTGCTCCGGCCCTGCCCCTCCCCCCGCCCGAGGGTGGTCACGTGGTTGCAGGGGACAGGGTGTCACCTCTGCCCCGGGACAGCTTGACTGCAGCTGGGGTCGCCCACACGACCCAGGCCCGCCCCCACCGCTGGATCTTTAGCTTAATGACACCTACGGTCCCGGGAGCTGGGGCTTACCTGGGAGGCATTACTCAGCCGTCAGGGTGAGGTGGGAGTAATGTCAGAATTAAATGCTGTCTCCGGTCTCATGTTCCAGGTAGTCTCAAAAACTCAGAAAAGGTCTTTTCTTGTTCTTTTCAGACATCAGCACATTTTATAGCCAGCCAGGAGGTGCTTGGCCCGACTCCCCACTGACCTGGGGCCACTCCCGGCTTGGGTCCAGGAAGACCTTGGCCATAATCCTCAGGAGGGCTCAGTCCCTCTGGTACATTCGAGACCCTCTCCGGGGGCCTGGCAGCTGCGTCCGGAGGGGGTTCCGTGGCCTTACTGTGGATGACACTGTATCGTTTCATGTACTCTTCACAATCACCCCTGAGCGGGGCACACTCACCTCTGTCTCCCAGATGGACACTGAGGGGCACAGTGGTGAACAGGCCGGTGAGGCCCATGTCTGATAAGTGGCAGAGCCAGGCGGCCACGCCAGGTCCTCGCCAGGGTTGTGGGGCTCGGCCCAGCCGAGCAGGAGTCCTGTATGGCCTGGGGCAAAGGCGTGAGGACGCGCAGTTAGTCTGAGAAGACGGCGAGCACATCCGCCAGGGCTCAGGAATGGAGGTGGGACTGGCACAAGCAGGGTGCGGGCAAGTCTTGGCAGTGCCCCCTTCCGTGGGCCCAGGGCCCAGGCCTTCCCTTCTGCAGGGGGCACCCGGCCTGGGCACCCCTTTGCATGTGATTTCCTGTGGCTTGCCCACCCAGACAGTGAGGTCATTTCCAACTTCTCCCTTTGAAGTAATACCAAGATCAATTATTTTAACGGCAGAAGCTTTATGCTGAGTTTCTATCATTTCCTTAGAAGAGATTTGCAAGGCTGTAGCTCAGTGGAGACAGCGGAGCACGAGCTCTAAGCCAGACAGTCAGGGTCTGTACTGCTGTGTGGCGCAGGGCAAGTGGCCTGGCCTCTCTGATCCTTGTGTGTGAAACGGGGTAAACAAAATCCACCCGCAGGCTGGTGATGTGAGGCTGAAACTCTTAGCCCACACGGCCTCAGCACAACTCTCTTGATTGGGGTCACCCACATCAGGAGTTATGGGTTCAGGGGTGCAAGTGCTATTAGGGTTCCTGAGGCACGGTGTGTTGTTACTGACAGATGTCTCTGAAGTATTTCAGGTGATCTTTAAAAGGACATGCGTGAGTGTTTTATGAAATATTTTTTGTCAGAATTTAAAAAGGCTCAGTGACACACCAAGGGGACGGGTGTCTTGAGCCTTAGCTGTGTGCCCACCTCGAGTGAGCGCCTTCCTGCTTCCATGCCGCAGAATCCGGGAGCTGGAGCTGTCGGAGCAGGCCCTCCTTGGCCGGGTGGACGTGCTGCGCGCCCGCGTGCTGCAGGAGAGAAGCGCCACCCTCCGCGCCCAGGAGCAGCTGCAGTCGCTGCAGGGGGAGCTTGCCCACCAGGTACCGGCCCCCTCTTCTCTAGGCCTTGCTTCTGGTGGCAGCCAGGCCACCCATGGGTGTGGGTGTGGCTGCAGCCGCAGTGGAGCCAAGACGGGCAGGTGGGGAGCACTACCTGGAGGGATTAGAGGTCCTAATCCAGGGGTGCAGCCAGGCTCCCATGGAGAGTTCCGTGCACACAGACAAGCAGCAGGTAAGGTGCCCTTGCCAGGAGCGCAGGTCAGAGCCCCTTTCTGCGGCTTTCTCTGGAATCAGGGCAGGGAGACCGTGGACGGGGCTGGCCCTCAGGAGCGGCCTGCAGCGGGCACATGGACAGGAGACGAGTTACTCCTGAGCTGGAGCTCTGTGAGGCGGGGCCGCGTGAGTGCAGGGAGGGAGGCTGCAGAGCGCTGCCCGTGTGGGCTGGGCCTGCGGAAGGCCTGGAGGCGTGGGCAGCAGCCTGGGCAAAGGCACGAGGTGGGAGGACGTGCAGGACAGAGGGTGTGGGCGGCAAGAGGGAGATGCTGAGCCCGGGGAGCTCGGGGGCAGCTGCCAGCATGGCTGCAGGGCCCACGACAGGGAGCAGGCTCAGGGGCCTCAGCAGGAGAGCGGAGAGTCAGGATGGGGCGTCAGGCCGTCACCCCAGCTATGTGGGGAGAGACGGGGTGGTGGGGGTGCAGGGGGCTGGTTACAGTGTGGGTGGGAAAGCAAGCGGGGCTGGGCCAGGGGATGGACTTTAGAAGCAGAAGCCCCGGCGCCGCCACTCCTCAGCCGGGTGAGCCGGGGCCCGTGAGTGGGCCTCTCCGGCCGCAGCGCCTTCATCCGAAAGGGGGTCGGTACCAGATAGGTGGGGAGTGGGGTAGTTAGACAGCACCCGCCGTCCCGGGATTCTTAGCCGCTGTCGAAATACTCCACGGGGACCGTCAAGAAATGGGAGGCTGGGGTGTCTGAGGAAGAACAGAGACGGCGGGCCAGCCTGTCTTGGGGGGTGCTGCCACGTGGGGGGCAGAGACTGTCACGTTGCAGGCCGTGAAATCAGGGGGATGAGTCACAAGCAGCATTTTAAAAATGCAGCTGACAGGCGTGGCGGTGCGAAGGGGAGGCCGGAGGCGCAGCGTGCGTGTGTGGCAGCCAGCACTGTGGAAACCCTGGCTCACCGGCAGCTGACACAAGGGGAGGGCGGGGTGATGAGGAGTGGGGTTAAACTGAAATTAGTCTTGAGGGGCTGGAGGCAGCAAGTGGGATATTCCCCAAGATGCTGAACCCCGAGGTCCAGAAAGCTGAGTCTGTTCCCCTCCATGGTTCCGGGGGCGTCCTTGTCAGGGGGTGCTGAGCAGTAGTTCCGGGGGCGTCCTCTTCAGGGGGTGCTGAGTGGGGGTTCTGGGGGCGTCCTCTTCGGGGGTGCTGAGCGGGGCCTCGGGGAGGAGCAGGACACACACGTGTCTCCACAGAAAGGGCTGTTAACAGGTGGCTTTTGAGTTACGCCTTCTGTCCACACAGGACCCCCAGGTGAGGCAGCACAGGACTGTGTGAGGGGACGGGCAGGTGATGGGGTGAGCCAGGCACTGTGTGGGGTGCTCAGCAGGCCAGCGGTTCTGTGGGTGCTGAGCCCCTTTCCAGACACAGCTCTTGACTTATCAAGCTCCGGGGAAGGCCCTGCCACTACGCCCATTCCTGCATGGGGGCAGAAGTTCAGGGTGAGGGGTCTTGCCCAGGGTCCTTTGGAGACCAGCTGGCCCAGCTCCAACTGGCCCCTGAGCACGAACCCTAGACCTCTCACACCGGCCTCTGGACCTCTCACCAGAACCAGCCTGGACTTGCAGGCGAGCCCCACCTTGGGCCTGGTACCCCAGCGGCCCCTGTGCTGGGCGGTGGTCTGGTCATCACCCCCATTTCCATACAGAGGCCTCTCGTCTCCCGGCGACGGTGGAGACTCTCACAGTGGACAGCGCGGACCCAAGGAGGGCCCCGGGTCCAGGCCTTGCACCCTGGGGCGGACAGGCGGGGACTCTGCCCTGCACAGCCTGCGGCTGGCCCAGGTTTCGCTCACCTGCTTTTGCGCCTTTGCTCGGCCTCCCCAGGCCAGTGGGGGCGGGAGCAAGCTCAGGGGCTAAAAGGGAGCATCACATCAGCACCCCCAGGTGTTAATGCTGAGCATTAGGCCGACTCCCCTCTTCTCAGGGGCCAAGTCAGCCGGGCCAGCTGAGAGCACGGGCCGGCTGAGCGCTCGGGCCGGCGCGCGAGCCGCACAAGCAGGAGGGGTGTTCTCTGGCCAGCCAGGGCACCGGGGGTGGGGGGTGGAGGTGGGGCTGCGCGCTGCACGGTGTGACATTGCACGTCCCCTCTGGGCATCCCGGCTGGCGACAGAGCGTAGCCCCACCTGGGCACCGGCCTCCGGGAGCTGTGACATGGCGCCTGGTCTCATTGCAGGTAGCCAGGGCCTGCTGACCCTCAGTGCTGGGAAACGGAGGGGTCTGCCAGGTCTTGGGGTGGAAGTGGGGGCGCCCAGGGGGGTCCAGGCAGCGCTCTGTACAAGCTGGCGTGGAGGTGCTCAGTCCTGGACCAGGAGGGGCTGTCTCAGGCGCCTGCCGCCGCCCGGGCTGCCTTCTGCCCGGCTTGCACCGAGGACTCGGGCTGCTGACGGGTGTGCAGGGCCCCTTCCCCCATCCCCATGCAAAATTCTAGGGGCTCCTAAAGCTCAGTAATCCAGAGATGTTTTGATGCAAAATTCGAATGCCAAAAAAACCCACGAAAAGCAAAGCGTCGAAGTTCCAAATAGCGCCAGCCCGGGCGACGGCGCCCCGGGGCGGCCCTGACGCCCTCGTCCACCGCCAACTTGCAGGCTGGAGCCGAGGAGCGCGCGGCGCGGCGGCGCCGGGACGAGGTGCTGGGGCAGCAGGCGGCGGCCCTGGAGCGCGGCGGGCGGATCCAGCGGTGCCAGCGGGCCCTGGCGCGCGGGCAGGAGCGCGTCCTGCGGGCGCAGCTGCAGCGGCTGGAGCGGGACGTGCTGCGCCTCCGCCGCGCCGCGCGCCTCCCGCCGGCCGAGCCGGACTGCGCGGCCCGGGCGCCCGGCCCGGGCGGCCCCCGCGACCCCGCCGGCCCGGGCGCGCCCCGGGAGAGGCGGCGCGGCCGCGCGACCTGCAGGCCCGGCCCGAGCGCGGCGCGCGCGAGCGGGAGGAGGCGGCGCGCGGGCGGCGGGACCAGCGCGCCACGGAGCGCCGGCTCCGCGCGCAGGTGGAGGAGCTGCGCTGCTGCGTGTTCGCGCTGCAGCTGTCGGAGATCGGCCTGCAGAGCCAGGTGGAGGACCTGGCCCGGCAGAACCAGAGCCTGCGGGCGCAGCTGGGAGCGCGGGCGCCGGCGGACAGAGCGCGCAGCACCGCCCCGAGGGTCTCTGTCGCCTGGTAAGTGGCCACAACCCAGGGCAGCAGTGAGTCTGGCTTTTTCTCACTTTTCCGTAGAGCCAGTTGGTCAAGCCCCAGCTCCTTCCTTCCCCAGTCGCCCCTCCATCCACCCGTCCAGCCGCAGCCCCATCCACCCAGCCTCCCCTCCAGCCGGCCCCCTCCCTGCCAGTCCCACCCAAGCGCCCCTGCAGCTTCCCCCACCCATCACCGCTGCCACCTGCCCCTGCTCATCCCCACCCACCTACCCATCACCTCTCCACCCGCCCCGTCATGTCACGCCTATCCAACCCTCCACCTGCACCCCTCTCCAGCTGCCGCCCACACCTTTTAGCCCCATCATCTCTCTGCCCATTCATTCAAGCTCCCGCCGCCCCCACCAGCCATTCAACATTGGACGAGTCCCTGCAGGGTGCCAGGCGCAGCGTAAATGACCCTCACGTGCTCCTGAGTCCTCCCTGTCGCCCCTCCCTGCCAAAGCACCCTCCCCTGCGGTGGCTGGAAGGCCCCCTGGGGGGCAGGCCGGTGGTCCGTCTTCTTGTCTCCTTCCCTAGACTGTGCGCTCCTTGAGGGCAGGGTTTGGGGCTGGTGGGGGCTCAGCCCCCACCGCAGCACCCAAGCTTGGACCCTTCCGGCCCCCTGCTTCACTAGCTGTGCGACCTCCGGCTTATTTCTTACGCAACAGAGGGCGCGTATTTATTCATTTGATAGAAGCAATCCAAACTTGCATTTATTACATTCCTCTGGTGCTTGACACCCACTGGGTGTTTAAGGGCGTCATGTCACGCGAGGCCTGGGAAGACGGCGCGGCAGCTGCTGTGAGGGTCCTGCGCACACAGGAAGCGGGGCTCAGAGGCCGCGCCCTGAGCTGCTGCCACACCCCTTGGCGGCAGAGACCCCGCCGGCCCCCACTGGCTGCGCTCTGCTGTGTCCCGGCAGCTGCTGCCCTGGAAGAGCCCGACCCGCCCTCCGGAGGCCGCCCGCCTGTCCGCACACCGGGCCCGCACCCCGGGACACCGCGGCGAGCAGCCCGGCCCAGAGAGCACTGCTCAGAAAAAAATCAAAATCAGAGCTGGTTGGGAATTAGCCGGCACCGTCACTGCGCTGCCTTTAGTCGGGATAACGAGGCGTTTAACAACAGTTTTATCCGGATCGTTTTGCCTCTTAGCCCACCACCTGCTGCTGGCGCCACCCCGCCTGCGCGGGCCGTGTGCTCCTCTGGTGAAAGGAAACAGTGTTTAGTGCTGGCACCTGATTGTAATTTTGGAAAATAAATCCTGTACAGATGGCACATGTCCCTTAAATCCTTTCTGTGATTTCCCTACACGTCAGGCTTGGATGGAGGCTGCCGGCTCAGCCCCGTCGCCCCAACTCTGTCCCCCACGCTCTGTTACTCTCTTTCGTCTAAGGGGATCTGAGTGAGCGAGTGCAGAGGGCACGCCTGGGGGACTCCTGCCAGGCTGTGTGTGTCCTGGGCCCCACGGGCAGGGGCGTGACCCCCGGCACCCAGCTCCCAGGTGCCAGGGCCAGCTGGGGGTCGCTGCCATGGCTGGGGACCAGGCAGAGTCTGTTCTGGCGTCACTGGGGGCAGTGCCAGAGGCTGGGCTCAGGGAGTGGGTGCTACGCCCTTGCCACAGGTATGGTGACCTGAGGTTTCCCACCTTATCATTTCACAGCCCCCACTCGCCAGAGGAACTGAGCGCCCAGGGCTCTGCCGGAGGCTCCTGTGCACACAAACCTCTTGCAAATTCCCTAGGTCACCTGCCTGTATGGCAGCCCCATCGCTGGCCGTCCCCTAAGCCCGGATTCCTTTTCCCCTGACCTGCTAGAAACTTTAACCCCGATTCCTGCTTCCTTCCACCAGAGTGTGGAGTCCTCAGGAGAGTCACTGTCCCCTCTGTTTTCTGTGACAGCCCCAGTCCTGTCGCAGCCTTGCGCTGGGCTTCACGGAGTGGGTGGGGGTTGCCCAGAGCCCAGGTTCTGGGTGAAAGGAAGCCCGAGAGGCCTGTGGTTTGTGAGGTAAGCACGGCCTGTCTGCAGACGTGCCCAGTGCCTCTTATCCAGTGAGCACTGGGCACACGCCGTGGTCTGGGCACGGCGAGGGCAGGGGCTGCAGAGATGAACACTCCCGGGTGCAGACAGCACTACTCAGCCTGCTGCAGAGGGGAGCTCCCGGGGCCCGGGGTGGCCTGAGGGTTGCAGGGAGGCTTGTGCCAGGAGATGAAAAGTGAAGTTCTGAGAACTCCAGAGCCGGGGAGACAGCGGGATCAAGAACAGGGAAGCGCGGGGCCTCCCCCGTGGCGCAGCGGTTGAGCGCTGGGCCCGCAGCCTCTGCAGCGCCGCGGGTTCGTTCCCCGCCTGCGGGCGTGTGGGCAGCGCGTCCCCTGGTGGCCGATCCGTGAATCGCAGCACATTTGCGGGTGCCGGTTGGTTCCTCCTCCAGCCCACCGCGGCTTGAGGCACCCGGGAGATGTCAGAGGCAACGCAAGACCCCCAACACGCAAGTGATGTGAAGACAAACACCCCGGGCCTGCGCCCTGACGCAGGAAGGCCTGTTTCCGCCCCTTTGGGTATAAAAGAGACACCAACAAGCCGGCTCGAGCTTTCATGCCCTTGCGGGAACTCCTCGCGGCTGCCCTCCGGGCCGGGGTGCTGTGCCCCAGACCACGTCCACCCGCATGGCCTGGACAGAACGACCCGCGCGCACACTGGAGACACAACAGCTGGCATCTTGGCATCTTGCAGGAGACCCTGGGGAGAATGCAACCGTCTCCGCAGAGAAGCCCGCACGCTCCGGCCGCTGCGCAAGTGTGTGCGGCTGCCTCTGCGGTGCTCCTGAGCTGCCTTTCGCTTCTCTTTGAAAGAAATTGCTCGTTAACGCTAGAACCCCCAGAGCTCCCAGCGAGTGCTCCGTGGGCGCTGACAGCGGCAAGGATTGACAGGACTGAGCAGGGAGGTTTTGGGGGAGACCTGAGCTCTGCCCTGTTCCCCCTCAGACGTGCTGTGTGACCTTGGACGAGTCACTCTCCTCCTCTGGGCACTGATTTCATCCCTGGGGAACAGAAGGCGGCAAACCAGGCAGTGGGGAGCAATGCAGGAGAGCATGGCCCTCGGGGTGCCCCCCTGAGGCCCTCCTGGGGCCAGGGTCTGCGTGTGTTTTACCCACGCGTGTCCCTGCCGCGGAGCCGCGGGGGTGCTCAGCGTCTGAGCAGAACGGAACTGGACGGGACTGAAAATGCAAGAGGAAGCCCAGAGCGGCCTGGGCCTGGGCGCCGCCCTCCTGCCCTCCTGCCCTCCTGCCCTCCGGGCCCCTCTCTCGCCGCCTCTCGCTTTGCGCTCCTGTCGCTTCCTTTCCCCGCGCCAGTCCCTCCGCCTCTGCCTTCCTCTCCTCTCCTGTCCTCTCCTCCTTCCAGTGGGGATTTTAATCCGCTGACGAGATGCTTGATTCTGATCAAGCGTGAACCAAAGGGGTAAGAACAAGAGGCGCCCCCAGCTGGCTGAGGCTGGGGCTGCCCCTGCGTCCTCACGAAGTGGGGGGCACAGCCCATGGGGTGGGGTGCCGGCTCCTAGCAGGAGGAGGGGGTGCGTCAGGAGCAGAGACGGGGTGGGGTGAGACCGACGGGGCTATCTGGGCGCTCCGCGGGGAGAGACCTGAGCCAGCCTCCGCGTGGCGACCTGGCAGGGAGGGGAGGCCCGAGAGCAGGGGCAGGAGGCCCTTCCCGGAGGATGCCAGCAGGAGGGGCAGCGCATGGGCAGGGGCAGAGGCTGGGGAGAGAGGACGGGGGGAGGCTGTGTGGCCCCGAGGGCCAGGGGCAGGGCTTGAACTCGCAGCAAACTGCATGGCCACAACAGCCGTGGGCAGCCCCCGGGGCCTGCTTCAGACTGGACACTGACCCCACGGCTCTGGGGGGCACGGAGGACCCCGACGGAGGGGGGTGCACGTGGGGGAGGGGCTGCTTCGAGCAGGATGGGAGGGAAGCAGGAGTCGATGCAGGGGTCTGCTGAGACAGGTGCGGGTGGCGGCTGGGGAGGTGCGAGGGGCGTCACCCGTTCACTGCTGTGTCTGCCTCATCTGGCGGCACCGACTCGCGGCGGGAACCTAACAAATGCGGACAAATGTCCTTCCAAGTCTGAGACATCTGCCTTTCTGCAGCTTCATCTCTTATTCCTCCAACTATCAAACATTTATTAAGCACCTACTGTGTGCCAGACTAAGGTGAGGGCACAGGCCCCTTCTGGGGGACCTCAGGGTTCTGGGAGATGGCGGGGGAACACACAATTGTGGAGGTGGCCACGCTCTGTGTCCCTTGTGGCAGCCTTTCTGGAGCTCCAGTGGGGGTGCTGCCCAAGGACACCCAGCTGGGGCATTAGGACTTGTCGGGGGAGGGACAGGGCTGTCCCGCACCCTGGGCAGTGCCCACCTCTCTTGAGGACTTCTGTGCCACCAGAGGCCTAGGGCCACCCTGGCTGGACCCGTGGACTCCTTGTCTGCTGAGCCCAGCCCAGCCAGAGGGCAGGCAGCGCGGCCTCCAACCAGAGCACAGGACAGGGCCATGCACCAGGCTGTGTCCCCTGCTGGACTCCTGGGGGCCATGGGGACCCCTCTGGGGGAGCGCCTCATCCAGGACACTCAGCAATCCGCTCTCTGTGTCTTCCCAAGGACACGCTGGGTCACGTGCAGGAGGAGCCACTGCCCCTGTCCAGGAGGGAGGTCCAGCATGTTTGCAGCAGCCCTGGCCGGCAGGCCCCCCTCCCGTCCGACGGCGTCTCTGGACTGGGGGCCTCCACAGGTGCGTGTGCCTGGGCTGCGGGGACCCCATGTCAGGCCAGTTCGACTCCCGCATCCTGGTGCTGCCAGGGGCGTCTTCCTGCTCTGCAGACAGGACTCTGAACCCCGAGAGCTGTGTCCGGCTCAGCACACAGCGGGTGAGGTGGCCTGGGGTTGCCTGCTCACCGGGCAGTGTGGCCCTGGGGTGTCCACAGAGGCCCCTGTACTGTCAGCAAGTCTCAGGCACCTGTTCCCAGGACACCCACTGCCCTCAGGTGGCCCCAAAGCCAGTATGCAATGGGCTTCCGGCGGTTGACCCACATGGGGTTTGTCGGGAAGGCAGCCTTTGCACCCAGGGGTGTTGCTGACCATCCCCCACTCACTGCCTTGGGGGCTCACGGGCCTGGCGTCTGGGCCCCATCACCAGCAGGCAGCAAGTAGCTGGGGGGAGCTCCTAGGAGGGGCTGTGTAATCTTGGGGTCCTGTTGCTGCCCAGGCCGGATGTCCGGAGAGCCTTGCACCTGGGGCCACGCTGGGGCTGCCGGGGACCCTCCGGTTTTGGCACCTGACCTGGAGACCACGGCTGAGCTCCCAAGAGACCTAGTTGGATCTGAGTGCAGCCAGGTGAGACCGGCGGCTTCTGGGCCCCTGAGCAGTAGCCAGGCCTGGAGGCCCCACTGTGCACCCCAGAGTGACCACCACTCAGGGGGCGGGAGAAAGCACAGCCAAGCACCTGGGAGTGGTTGAGAGGGAGACTCGGGGAGCTGGAGCGGGGCCCTGAGGCAGGGAGCACCCTCCGACCATTGGGGTGCTGCCCTCTGAAGCAGGCGCCGCTGCCCTGCTCTGGAGCCGCCCGAGCCCGTCCCCCAACCCACACCCAGCTCCCACTGGCCCTGCGGTCAGGCTCAGTCCACCACCCGCGGTGACCCCGCCGCCCTGTGAGCCACAGCCGTCCCTGGCCGCTGCCTCCGCCCGTGCTCGGGCCAGAGCTGCCGCCGGGGCCCGGGGGTTCTAAGCTGGAGGGCTTGCTTGTCCCTCCTGCGGCCCCGTCCTGCTCCGGCAGCGAGGACAGGGCTGAGAGCCGGCGTGCAGGACGGTGTCTGAAAAGGCGGCCCCGGCGTTGCCAAGAGCCGGCAAACTGGAGGGCAGGGCCAGACAGCTGGGTGGGAAGGTCACCTGGCAAGGCGGCGGCAGCTGGGCGGCCCATGGCTGCTGCCCCAGGCGCGAGCGGGTGCGGATTTGACAAGGCGCACGTCAGTACACGGAGGTCGAGAAGGTGCAGGGTCAGGAGCGTGTGGCGGACCTGGCGAGGGGTGCCACGAGGGGTCCGAGGGGCGGGTGTCCTGGGAGGAGAAAGAGCAGGTACAGAGGCCCTGGCGGGCGCAGGTGCAGCTGGTTGGGAAGCCCAGTGCCGAGGGAGCGGCACATCTGGAGAAGAGGTCAGAGGGGGGCTGTGGGCGGGGGCTGCTCCCCACCGTCTCTCCCCGTCTGTCCCCAGCTTACCCTGGCGGAGCCCAGCTGGGATGAAGAGCTCGTCCTCCTCCTCGGCGGCTGCCTCCCGGGACGGTGCCCGGCCAGCCCGCTCCTGCCTGTGCAGCTGGCCTGCATTTCCGAGCAGCGGCGGGCGGGAGGCCCTGGCCCGGAGGCCTTCCTCCTGGTGCAGACGCCCACACTGCCCCACTGGAGGCCGGCTGGGGCCTCGGCCCCCCTGCTACCGCTGCTGCTCCAGGAAGCTTCCCCCGAAGAACTCCAAGCCCCCCAGGGACTGGAAGCCAGGCCCCCACCTGCTGAAGGCCGGCCCTGCCAGGGTGACGGCCGGACAAGGAGCCGAGCCGCCTCCCCGGGTCAGGAGCCCTCACACCCAGCCCCTGGGGGAGGGCCCAGCGGTGCTTGGCGCTTTTGGGCGGAGGGAGAAGAAGCCACAGTGGGGCCCGGGAGGGCGTGCCGTGGCACAGAGGAAGACCACGGTGACAGGTGCTGGCAGGGCGAGGGCAGCTGCGAGCATCTGTACTGGGAGGCCAGTGCGGGCTCCCCAGAGGGCGTACAGAGCAAGAAGGGGGCGTCAGGAACCCAGGCCACTGCCCCCCGCCCGGGGCGCGGAGGGGAGCTTCCTCTGCTGCTTCTGCAGGGGGAGGTCTCGGTGTTGGGGGTGAGCTCCCCGCCCCTGAGCAGGACGGGGCCGGGGCCAGCGCAGGCCTGGGGCCTAGGGCGAGGGCTCTCGTCAGAGGAGGACGAGAAGGGGCCCAGAAGACCGCCTCCAGCGGGCGGGCAGCTCCTCGCTGAGGAGGGCAGGGCCCCGGGGACGCCCTGGGCCAGGGGGGCAGGCGTGTGTGGGCTGGGCACGTGCTGCTCGTGCAGGAGGAGAGCCCCACGCACCGGGGGCGGGCCGGGGGGCAGGCGAGGGCGCTGCAGCAGCTTATCAATGGGCCCTGCTGCAGCTGCGGGCGTGGCCCTGAGGAGGCCGGCCCCGCCGACCGCGAGGACCACGAAACGCTCTTCTTCGTGGAAGAGGAAGGGGAGACACCGTCCCCCAGATTGGCCTTGACGGCCGAGCCCGCCAGGCACCCCTGGGCTCCGAGTCAGGGGCAGGACTGGCCTGGGCTCGGAATAGACGAATTTGCAAAGGAGGTGGAGGCCTGTTTGCAGCACCTCTGCCAGCTGGCTTGCGAGGCTCGTGGCCGGAAATGGCCCCCGCTGGCGGCAGAAAACTGGACCTTTGTCCCGCGGCGGCGCGGCTGCCGGGAGGGCCAGCGTCCCGGGCGGGCCTTGGCAAGCCAGGGCGTGGAGATGTGCGGGGCCGGGGCAGCAAACCCCACGGAGCAGCGTGCGGACGGAGAGCAGGGGGACGCCCAGGTCCCGGGAGGTGGCGGCGTCCTCCCTGGCGCGGGGCCTGGCCTGGACGGCAGGAGCCGGGGCCCCCCCGACGAGCCCCCGCAGCCACTTGGGACCCGGCTCCCTCAGCAGCTCCACATCCTGGAGAGGGCTAGGAGGAGGCTCCACCAGCTCGTTTCCGGACTGAAGAAAGAGAGAAGCCAGGTTTTACGTGAGAACGCCAGGCTCCAGGGAGACCAGGAGAGATGGCGCCGGAGGATGCGCTCCCTGCAGGAGGAGCGGGAGAGGGACGCGCAGAGACTCAGCGCCCTGCAGCGGGGCGAGGGCGCGCTGGCCGGGGACGTCGCGCGCTTGAAGAGGGAGCTGGACCAGTACCTGCGGGTCATTTCGGACCTGGAGGACTGCAACCGCGACAACTACAGCAAGATTTCCGAGCTCGAGGAAGAAAACGAGAAGCTGAAGGGGCGCGTGAGCCGGCTGCTGGAGGCCGCGGCCGGGCGCGCTGGCCCCTCCCCGGGCGTGCTGGAGCAGGCCGCCCTGGACGCCTGGGAGCTCAAGGCGCGGCTTTCCGGGCTGGGGGTCAGTTACAAAGAGCTGGTGAGGGACGTGGTGCTGGGGGTAGAAGACCTGGTGCGAGCCTGCAGGGGGGAGAACGAACAGCTTCTGCGCAGGATCAGAGTCCTGGAGAGGGATGTGGTGCTGGGGGTGAGAGCAGATGCCAGGCCTTTGGGGGCAGCCCGGGAGCTCGTCCAGGAAAGAAGCACCGTAGGCCAGGGGACTGCTGTGGAGAAGGGGGTGCAGGTGAGCCAGTTTTCGGGGCAACTGATTCCAGGCGTCACCTTGGAGGAAGACATGAGCATGGCTGGAGGGTGGCGGGGACCCTCCTTGTGTGCGGAGAATTCCAGCTGTGGCCCGGATGCTGGTTCTGCTGCCCCCGTGCTGCCCGGGGGATGTGCTGGAGCGGCTGGTGCCCGGCCGGGAGACACGGATGGAGCAGGAGGGAAAGAAGCACCCTCGGAGGAAGAGGAGGGAAGGCCGTGGAGTCCAGCAGACCCAGGGCAGACCCTGCGCACCCTGGACACCCAGGTAGGTCGGTCCCCAGGGCTGCCGTGGCGGCGCTGTTGCCCCCGAATTCAAGCCCGGTACAGTTGTTCCTATTGATCAGATGAGAAAACACAGGCGCAGAGACTTTAGGTGGCTCCCCCAAGCCACAGCCAGGAGGCACGGAGCTGGCCTTCGGCCGGAGTCTCCCTTCTCAGCTGCGACCTGAGACGCAAGCCTGTCCCCCGGAGGCAACCCAGAGTCACCTCCGGGGGGACGAGCTGAGGTCCGAGCTGGTCTCCATCCTTCAGACGGACTTTCAGGCAGCCCCCGGCCTGCTTCTGCCCCTCGGGTCTTGAAAGGCGTGATGGGAAGAGCTCGCTCAGACTCGGTTCAGGCCCAGCTCTGTGCGGACTCCGCCGTGGCCGCAGACGGCCGCGCGCTCCTGAGCGCTGTTTTCCAGTCTGCCGGGCTCTGACCTTGGGCGCCCCGGGAGAAATGCTGTGATGTCCCGGTGGCTCCAAATACCAGCCGTTCGCAGCGGAGCTCGGCCCAGCTCTCCCGAGTCCTCCCGGCAGGGCCGCACTGAGCTGGGGCTCCGCGTTCCTGAGTGGGGTTTGGAAGACGTTTCAGAGAAAAATCCAGGGAGACAGCAGAGCTCCCCCGTGATGTGACCCCAGGTGGCTGGTTCCAGAGCAGGATGCGGCTGGAGCCCGCGCCTGGCGGACTGTCTGTGAAGGAGCAAGTTGTCATGGGGCCACTCTCATGCTGCTGTCAGCGCAGCCCCCCGAGACAGGCAGGTCCCCCCTTATTAGGACTTACCGTGAGTGCTCTCTGTGGACCCTTGGGGTGAAGCCCTGGTCCCTGTCCCTGCAGAGAAAGGAGGCAGCGAGGCCCCAAACTTCCCAGAAAGGCCAAGTTGTTTTGCAAGTGGAGCAGCTGGATTCTCTGGAACCATTTGAAGCCCCCATTTGTTCTTGAGGGGGCCCAATCTGTGAGTCTCAGGCCCACGCTCTGTGAATTTCTATTAATTAAAAAAAAAAATCATTCTGCCAGCCTGCTCCTTCCTAACCAGGGAGATGCCTCCTCAGCCACTGCGTCACCGTGGTGCTGCCCCCTCACTTTCTCCTCTGCCCCCCGCTCCCCAATCGGCGAAGTTTGGCCCCTTTCCCCAATGCTCACACCAGGCCAGGAGCGCAGGAGGCACGTCCCTGAGCCCGTCACTGCCCAGGGCGGCCCCTCTGAAAGGAAACACCCAGACGGGGGTGCTTGAGGAGCACCTCCCGCAGGACGTTCCCCCTTAGCTGTGGGCACCTGCTTGGCCACCCTGGCAGAAGGGACCCCAAGCAGGAGGTACTCAGACCTGACCCGGGGGCTCAGGCAGGAAGCAGAGCCGGTCACCTGCTCGTGTGCAAGGGTCTCCCACGGCTCCACCACGGCTGCAGGCATTGGGGTAACCCCAGCTGTCCCCCTGGCTTCACCACTATGATAACCTCAGCCTTGCAGCTCGTCACAGAGAAAGCGCTGGGTCCAAGGCCACACTCGCATGGCACGGACACACCTTATTAAAAAATGAAAATGGCGAGTCGAGAGCCATGTGGGGACAGCAGCGTCACTGCCATGCAACCGCGTTCCGCACGTGCTGAGCAGCTGGTCCCCTTCCGCCTGCCCAAAACTCCTGGTCCAGATAAAACCCACTCGTGTTTCTCCGAGGAAAGTAAGAGGCACTTTGCACTGGCTTCGGACATTGTCCAGGCAGAGGCCGTGTCTCCTGCTTGTACAAGTCCATGGAGGGTGGATGCAGCACGCTGCGGAGCTGGGCTGGGCGTGAGTCCCCGTCACGGCGCTGCGGTCAGCGTGACGGCCCCGGGACCCTGCTGGAGCAGACTCCGGGAGGACATCCCTTCACCTGCTTTGAGAGCAACATCATCGAAGGTTTTTCTGCAATTCCCTAGTCTCCCCAGGAGACCCAGTCGGGCCCCCATCTAAACTATTTCCACAGTGAGAAAAGTACATGCAGGGAAAACACCAGGAAAACGGGTGTCGTTTGCTTGCCAGGGCAGAGGACGAGGGTAACCTAAGTGGGGGTTTCCATTCCCGGGTCTCCGCAGCGCCGGGGCCTGGAGGCCGAGTCGCCGTCGGAGGAGGACCTCAGGCTGTGTGTCCGGCGGCTCCATCTCCAGGTGGCCACGCTGCAGTGCCGGCTCCGAGACCAGGGCTCCGCCCGCGAGGAGGCCCTGCGCCTCCGGGACCAGCTCAAGGGCAAGGTAGGGGCTGTACCGCCCCCACACCCCCACATTCTATAAAATTGCACAGAAATTGGTACAAACTCATAAGTGAAACTGGAGTGAGGTTGGAGCATGGTGTCCATGTCATACGGGTCTCCCCCGGTTTCCAAAAGCAGAGCATGCAAAGCAAAGAAGCAACCAGCATTCACTTATATGGGGAACTTGAGCATCCCCAGACCTCAAAAACAATGTGCCAAAGCACAGCAAAAAATACATAGACCCCACCGGACCACACACAGGGAAAGCAGGGGTGCGGCAGGCACAGTCTGCTCATCTAGCCGCCGTACACTAGTTTTACACAATGTCCTCACTGGGAGAAACTGGGCAAAGTCTACAAGGGGTTGCTCTATATTATTTCTTACTACTGCGCATTAAGCTATAATTATCTCAATTATTTTAAAAGCCAAAAAAAGACCCTTCCTCCTCCTCAACTCCCACCTGACTTCCAGCATTTTCTTCCACCCTCTTTATGCACATTGAGAAGTGTGAGTTTACATACATGAACCACACCCTACACATATATTCTGCATCTTGATTTTACAATTTAACCAAAAAGCATGGGACTGTCCCCAGAAACATGTGCCAGCTGACCCCATTCTTGTAAATCTGTTATACTTTATGAGGCCCAACCGCAACTGACTAACCCATTCTTTGCTCGTGGGGATCTGAATCATTTCTTTCTGTGCTTTACAAACCAGGTCCTAGTGGTCATTTCTATGTCCCAGGGAGGGGTGTCCACTACAGATGCAGGCAAGGCCTGGCCACAGAGTCCTTAGGCCGGTGGTGCCGTGTGTGATTAACTCTCATGGGTGATGGCAAATGACCCCCACATGGGCTGCATCAATGATACCCCCGTCAGGGACCAGGGGTGCTCCCGTCGGGGACCAGGGGTGCTCCCGTCGGGGACCAGGTGTGCTCCTGTCGGGGACCAAGGGTGCTCCTGTTGGTTCATCGACTTGCCTCTCTGGGTGATGTCACGCTGCATGTTTTTTGAGCTGAGGGTGAGAGCTGCACCCTCAACATCGCGACGTGGTTTCTGGGTCCCCACGCACTCTGTGTGCCGAGCGCGCTGTGCCTGGGCTGTGTCCTTTGTCCGCATTCAAGGTCTTTATCCGCTGTCCGGTGGCTGCAGAACCTCTGTCCCCCGCTGTCCGGTCAGCGGTTCCTGCTGTTGATTCACGTCTCACTGCTTGTGCGTGTGTGTGCGGGTGAGTGGCTTTACTGGCCCAAGGGAGGACAGCGTGTTAATTCTGAATTCGGATGGCGATGGTGCTTCTTGAGGCAGAGACGTCCGTTTCCAAGGCGCCGGCAATTTTTCACGGTGCCTCCAGCCAACAGGGGGCGCCATGCTTTCCTCCTGCCTTGCGCGTGAAAATCGGGCTCCGGGCACGCACCAGGCCTGGGAACCACGGTTTTCTACTTACATTCTCCTTCTTCTTATGCTGCATCTTACTTCCCCCCCCGCCCCCCCCCTCTCTCTCTCCCTCCCCCCGCCCCACCCCGTCTGTCTGCCAGCATTTCAGTTTGGGTATTTCCTCCTAATCTATGACCCTGCTGAGTTATTCTCTTCAGGAGAGTCCGGTGCTTCTTTAATTCGTTATTTGCACCGTTGTGCTTTGCAGTCCTGGACTTTCCCCTTGATTCCTTTTCAGTAGTTCCCCGTCCTCCGCTGCAACTCTTGGGCTACAGCTTGAAGCATTTTAATCACAGAGGCTGTACCTGCCCTGAGAACCCCATTTTACGTCACGCCACGGGGCAGGGAGTCCCAGCCTCGGGTCCCCCCAGCGCTTGCTGCGTCCGTCGTGTTAGGACCGGCTGTGGCGAGGGCAGGGGACGGCGGGTCTGGGTTCGTTCCCCGACGGCTGACGGCGTCGAGGCTTTTCCATGTGCTTTTTGACAATTCATGTATCGTCTTTGGAGAAATGTCTGTTCAGATCCTTTGTCCCTTCTGTAACTGGGTTGTCGAATGTTTTTGCTGCATAGCAGAGTTTGCCGGCTATTCCAGGTACGAGCTCCTCATGAGGTGCAGCGTCTGCAGACACTTTCCCTCCTGCGGTCCTTTCACTTTCTCCTTTAGTAGCAGACGCCCCGTGCATCGTCACACAGGGTCCTGCGCCCCAAGCTGAATCTGCGGCTCGGCCCGTGCCTGCGAGCCCCGCGGAGCGCCCTTGGGCTAGGACAGTCTGCAGGGAGCTGGCGCTTTAGTCTTCACGGGCGCAGAAAGGCGGGCCAGGAGGGGTGTGCGGGGGTGGTCACTGGAGACTTGTAAAGCAAGGAGACCTGACGAAATTCTGTAAACAAAGAAGGGGTTGAAGGGCACGTCCCAGCCTCATGGTAAATAGTGTGCAAGGCTTTGAAGGCGTGTGGTGGGATTGTGCTGGTGTGGGGGGAACACCGCGCTTTTCAGTTACCTCGCACACCCGAGCCGCCCGGTGTCTGCAAGGCCCGCTGCGCCCGGGGGTGTTGAAACAAGTACTTGAGGTCAGAGAGGTTGGGGGAGAGGAGGGCCCTCCCTGGGCTGACTGGAGACAGCGAGGGGGTGAGACCCCCAGAACACCCCTCTTAGTAGGGCTTGTGATTGTGTCCGGGTCAGTGCGGCTGAGCAAGTGTCGCTTCTCTTTCAGCTCGACGAGCTTCAGAAAAACCAACGAGAAGCGAATTTGGCGGTGATGCCGCTGAAGGTAAAATGTTTGTGAAATCTGCAAGAAAGGAAAGGGGTTTAGGGTTCCCCGTGGCGGGGTGCGGGGGGCGGTAAGGGGAGATCATCTTGATTGTATAAAAGTAGCAGAACAATGAACAAAAGAGACAAAACTCACCCCAGCCGTCTGCGGGTCCTTCACACGTACAACCAGGTGTCAGGAGGGGGACGGGAGCCCCAGTTTGCAGGTGGGGAGCCCCAGTTTGCAGGTGGGAGCCCCAGTTTGCAGGACCCGGAGGCCTGTGTCCTTGAAGCCTGGTGCCCCGACCTGCCGAGCCTCTGAATCCATTTGGCCTCAGCCTCCAAGGAGGCTACTTGGGTGCTGGGGGCCAGGCTCCAAGTCGGGTGCCCTCCCACCACCCGGGGGACCTTCCTGCCAGCGCCAGCCGCTATCTGGAAACTGACATGCAAGGTCTCTGCGCCTCGGGATGGGCTGGGAGGTCCTGGCAGAAAGGGCTGCCACGGCGCTCCGCAGAGACGAGCCCAGGGCCACCCGCAGGCCCAAGGCAGAGGCAGCTCCTCCTCCGACAGGCACAGGCCCATCATTTTCGAGGCGGGAGGGTGACTCCCTGTCAGAATTCCCCCTTGAGGGATGTTCAGTGCCCAGTGATGACGCAGGCAGGGTGCCAGGGGCGTGGGGAAGTGCGGGCCTTGACCTTGAGGTGCTCCCAGGCTGTGTGGAGACAGACGCGTAAATAGGAAAAGTAGCTACTGGGACAGAAGGAAGCCGGGAAGCTGGGGCACAGAGGGACCCGGGCCCCAGCTTCAGCCTCAGGGAGGCCTCCCTGGGGGCGGTATTGCCTGGGCGCTGAGCAGATCGGAGCAAGGCTTTCTTAGAGTTGGGAAATGCAGGAGACACAAGGGTGAGGAGGAAGTTTGAGGTGCTGGGATGAGCCTCCCTGTGTGGGTGCTTGGCCTACACCGGCTCCTGTTGTCCTGGTGCTCCTGACAATGCCCGAGGTACGGATGAGCAAGTCCAGGTGTGCACAGCTGCTGGGTCACACAGCTGGTGGACGCGGAGTGGAAGTCCCTGCTCTCGACCCATCCAGAGGGGTTCTGAGCGCAGGGGGAGCCCCTGGGGGACGGCAGTGCCGCAGCTGGTCTGCAAGCTGGTTCTTAGTTTTGGGCGGATGGAGGGAGTCTTGAGGGGAGGCTCGAGCAAAGGCCACGTTGGAGGATGCAGAGCAGGGAACCAGGCCCGCCCGGAGGGAGCCCACATCCGGGCCCACCTGGCCACGTCTTCCTCCTGCCTTCCAGGCCCAGCTGGCGTCCCTGGTGCAGAAGTGCCGGGAGCGGAACCGCCTGATCTCGCGGCTGCTGCAAGAGCTGCACAGACACGGGACGGCCGACCCCCTGCTGGCGGAGCGGGCGCGCAGCATGGTGACCGACGTGGCGCTGGCCGAGTACGTGGCCACTTTCCTGCCATCGGATGTCCCAGAGGTATGTCCTCACAGACAGCCCTGACCTTCTTCCCACGGGCTGTGTGCCCACCCAGTGGCCCACTCTGAGCTCTCCTCCCACCCTGTGCCCATGACCCCGCCTGGAACATACCCTGGACCCCCTCTCTGGGCCAGAGTCGTGCTTGGGTCGGCACGGGAAAGTGACCGAACAGGACACAGGACACAGGCACACGAGCATCCTGTTTTTCTTTCACCAGACACCTCCCCAAGGGCGCCCCTGGACTCAGCATGAGCTGGTCCCGCCACCTCCTGTTGACCCTACAAGGCACTGAGTGTGAGCTTGCCCGGGGGCCGGCCCTGACCCCCTGGCCACGGAGTTAGCCACTGCCCCCCGGCCCCACTGCACATGGGCCTGGGTGTCGTGGGTCCTGTAAGGTGTGAGTTCTGTTGGCACAGTCGCTCCGTGACCATCTCCAGCTCCCTATTAGCTCAGAAAAGCTGCTCAGGCAATATTTAGCGAATGAATAACATAATGAGCTAAATGAACAAGGTTCTCTTCACCTACTGATCAGCAAAAGTGGAAGCAGGTGCGGGGGGTACAGAGACATGCTCGTGGTCAGAGCCCCAGGCTGTGTGGACGTGATGTGCGCCAGGGCTGACCCGCTCCTCTGCCTGGCCTGGGGTGCCTGTGTGTGCAGCAGCCGTGGGTGTTCAGCCAAGCCTGCTCACATGAGTGTGCACACGTGCACACACAGAGCATGCCTACTGTCTGGTTCTTGGGGACCAGCCAGCAATGCTCCCACCAGACTAGCTTGGCTCCTGATGGTACAAGGGCGTGAGGCGGCGCCTGCTGCAGGCACAGCCGGTGCTGTTTTCCAGGATCCTCCAGGGCTCTGCTCTGGGTGGGGGCTGGGGCCTGCTCTGGGCAGCCGAGCCCCAAGTCTGTGTCTCCTTCCCAGACCCTCCCTGCCCAGCCTCCGTGAGGCCACCCCCTCAGCTCCTCCCAACCCTACAAGACACCACAGAGCAAGGAGGGAGGCTTGGAGGCCAGTGGGCCGCTCAGAGCCTCGTGGGGACTTGGTCAGAGGCTAACATGCATCCAAAGCACTGGGAGTGCAGGCCAGTGCTCGTCTCTGCCCGAGCGACCCACGCTCTGGAGGGAGGGGGCTGAGGGGAGAGGTCACTTCTCGTCCAGGTACACGGCCCAGCCCGCGTGTTGGCCGAGTAGGGCTGAGTGCACGGCTCCCGGGGAGTCGTGGCTGCAGGGTCCCCCGCAGGCCAGCTGGCCTTCTGCCCGAGGGCGCCCTGGAGGCCCTTGGGAAGGGAGCCCTGGCCCAGGTCTGCTCTGAAACTCGCCATGTACACCTCGGGCAAGAGCTGACGTGTAACCCTGATGTACAAACCTGAGCGCTCGGTTCATTTCCGGGAGAAACAGAACCGCGAGCGGCCGCAGCGCCGGGTGGATGCGGAAATAACGTCAGCGCATCTTCTCCCTGCAGCGGCGTCATCTGCGCAGCCAGGGCCCCGCGCGCACTCGCTCAGCTGCTACTAACGCACATTTGTGATTAGATGGTCATTTGGGAGTCTGACGGGAGGACGGGGGGAATGGATGGGGTCGTGGGTGCTTAAGAGCCCAGGCGCACTCCAGGTGGCCGCGGTGAGGTGTGGAGTGCGGCTGGGTGGAGGCCTGACCACCCACGGGGGCCTTCACACTGGAGTTTTAGTTCGTGGGGCACCGTGGAGGTGCTGGAGCAGGAGGGGGAGGTGCATGCGGGGGGCGGGTGACCTGCGTGCAGAACCCTGGGCCATGGCGCGCAGCAGGCAATTCTGGTCCAACAGCCAGGCGACCGGGCGTGACGGCCGCGGCTGAGGCCGCAGATCAGGGTCCCCGGCTCCTGGCAGAGTGGTAGCCCCTGGCTGGCAGCGGGCGGGACGCAGGTTGGGAGCACGTGCTTCGCGAGCCGACTCTCCTTTCAGGGACACAGATGGCGCTCCCGATGGGGGCTTCAGGCCCTGGCTCGGCGCCTGGGAGGGCTGCCCACCAGCTGGGAGACACTAATGGGCTGGGGGGGATGTTCCCGAGTGGAGGGGGCGGTGTAGAATCCCTGGGAGGCCCCGGGCCCAGTTCTCTGGCCCCAGCCCTGGGGAGGGGGTCTCCACTCACTGCAGAGGTCTGACGCAGGACGGGGTGGAGGCCGCTGGGGGCCGCTGGCCAGGCTGCCATTCCTGTGGTCACTCGCAGGGGAGACGGTGGGAGACTCTCAGGGCCCTGCTCCCCATGCCAGTCTCCACAGAGCAGCTCCCCTCCTCCCAGGCCTGACCCAGGAGGACTCCGGCTCAGAGGGGCCCAGAGGTGGCTGGGACACACCTGGGTGGGCTGTTGTTCGAAGCTGGTCTGCCCATTCAGGGCGAGGACAGTGCAGCCTGCTGCCCTAGCCTGCAGCCGGCCACACAGGGAGTGACCACTTCTCACTCATTCCTTTTCGTCTCCCTGGGCTGATCCCGCCTGGCTCCCTGCCGCCCCTGGACATGGGGCCTCCTGTCCTCTGCCCAGGCTTGGAGCTTCATCTGAAAGACCGAGGCACCCCAGAGACTGAAGAATCACCCTTTATGGCGTTGGTGCTGGCTTGTCCCCTCCCAGGTGCCTTGTCCTTTAGGCCAGGCTGCTGTCCCTCTGCCGGGCTCAGTGAGATCTGGATGAGGCCTCAGATCAAAAGACCCAGCACAGCACCATCACAGATGCGTGGAGGATTTGGGGTCCCTTCTGTGCAAAACCGAAGTTGCCCACCTGGGGACTTGGTGTCCTAGTCACAAGAGTTGGCTGGACCCCAGCCTCGCAAAGATGGGGTCAGCTGGTTATTACCCGAAGGCAGGGGCCCTGGGTAAAGCTGTTCTTTTATTGAACATGGTTTCAAGTTCACAGGACACTTTCGTGTCTTCATAGCAAGATGACAGAATGTCAGTGTAAGCATCTTTGTTCCCTCGCTCTACACGGCACGGCCTCCTAGGGGGCCTCATGGGATGAATAGTGCGGGGGGCGGGGGGCTATTTCTCTAGAAGGTCACGCGGACACCCCGACCTCACCTGCAGACTTGACTTTCTGCCGCAGTCTTGGTTCTGTTCAGTCCCTGTAGACGTGAAGAAGAGAGAGGCAGCTTGTGTGTGTCTGCCCTGGCTCTGGGGAACAGCATCCTGTGGTGAAAATGAACTCATTAAATACCTACACCAGGGCACTGGTGACCTATAAGTAAAATGAGGTCATTTTTGATGAGCAGTAACTAATTTTCACGTGACACAATTATACTATTTTACAGTTGAGCTTAGAGAGAGAGAAAAAAATAGAGCAACCGGAAAATGTATAGAATGTCCTGAAAAGGCTGGTAAGCCTTTGCCAACTAGAGAAATGTTTAGCCTTCTGCAACAGAAGCCGGTCCCCTGAGGCCTTGTCCAGCCCGCGTTCACCAGCAGACTCTGCGGGGAAGGGCGCGCAGCCCGCATTTGAACCCTGCCTGTGCCTCTGCTAGCTGTTGGCCTTGGGCAGGTCACTTGACCCCTCTGGGCCTCTGTTGCTTCACCTGCATGTGGATTAATAATGTTACTTACTTCTTTGGGTTAAAGATTAGATAAATCAGTCTCTGCAAATTGCTTAGAATAATGCCCAGTACAGCATGAGAGCCCCAGAAGCGGGGTTCACCACCATAGTTCACCACGTGAAACTGCCAGTGTTGGACTTACTACTCTTTCCTTCTAGAATCAGTGGTTTCATTGGTTTAAAGTTTTATTATAAAAATAATATACCAATAATATTATTATAAGCTTATAATAAGAAGAAGATAAAGTCCAGCTGCCTTAAGTCTGTATCTGCAATCCATATGCACATTATTCTGCACAGTAGAACCTGCCTTTCCCCAAAAGCTGACTTTTAAACCCCCCCCCCACACACACACAGGAAACCTTCCCACTGCTCACTGAGCAGTTGGTGCTTCCCTCCGGCGGTCCACTGGCCTGTGCGTGGCCTCTCTTCCAGCCCCACCTCTGAACTATAGCCACACATGTATTTGCCTGTCCCTCCTGATGGATTGGAAATGCCCGGGTTACGGCCCATTCACCATGGCCCATAGGATGCTGCATGATCATCCATTCCTCTTCTCCACCCTGCCTCTTCCTCAGCCATCTCCCACTGATGAGACAAAGGCCACCGAGCATGGAGAACTGCTCACTGCTCACAGCTCACAGCTCCCGGGTTCATGAGAGACGTTTGCTCCATTCTGCTCCTCTGAGTGTTGAGGCAGGCAGCTAAAGAGGCTCTTCCAGAGGCCTGATAAAGGCATACGTAGGACCTGATTGCTGAGTGTAGTGGTCTACCTGTTGTTTGCAGGGAAAACATTTGATATGTCAGTGCTGTCAGGGAAGGGCTAACACACGTGTAAGTGCTGCTGGGGGCGCTCTAGAAAGATTGGGGCTGTGCACTCAGATGGCCTTGGGCTTCAATACTGAGCTGCCTGGTATTTCACGGCTGCATAAATCTGGATAAGCTATTTATCCAGATATCTTTGAAACAGGCAACTGTTTCCTCATCATAATGTGGGCATGATAATAGTTTTTTTGGGGGGGTTAAGTGAAACAGCATGCTGGAGAGTCCAGGGCACCGCTGGGTATGAGGTTGGCATCACGTTCCTGTTGATTACGTTTTAATGGGAATGTCCCCACCTCTCGTCATTGGGAACAAGAAAAATCACAGATGACATTGACTCTATGGGGATACCCGTGTGTAACTGTCTTGTCACTGAATGACAGGGGTGGGAGCCTACCCCCCAACCCGCAGTCTGTTTCCTCACCCACAGAACAGTGGCGCGAGCCTCCCTGAAATGCACTAGGGAGACGTGAACCAAGGCTTGAGGAGCCTCTGGTGCCAAGTACAGAAAGTGCTTGGTACGTGTTAGTTATTGTGCTGTTGAAAAACACTCAGAAATGTAGAGATCTGATCAGCTTTATTAAGTGATTCCTGAGTCAGGCAGCTTCCTGCTCAGACACTGCAGGGCTCACATGGAAGGTGGGGTGTCGACAGACAAGAGAGGGTGGGACAAGGTGTTTGGCAAAAGAGAAGTTTATTCCAGGTAAAGCCACCTTCACTCAGGGACAGGTGCGGGGGGAGGCTCTTACCATACAGACGACCTCACTGGTGCTGATGAGAAACCCCAGATGGATGGGGCTAGGACCCCACTTCAGGAAAAGGTTGACGCCACACTAGGTATTCAGTCGGGGTGGGAGCCCAGCGTGAGGGCTCTGTCTTGGGCCTGCTGCTCTGTGTTTGACAGGTGTCATCTCTTCCTTGGATGAGTTGTAGGATCAGAGGATTCTCATGACAGAGAGAAGCAGAAACCGTTTCCTGTGCTCTTGCCCACAGCCTCCCCTGCCCTCGGGCCTGGCGCCTGATCCTGGACCCAGCCTGGCTGCAGTTTCAGCAGAACCAGGAGTCCAGGAAGAACCAGGAGTCCTGGAGGCACCAGGATTCTGGGCAGAACCAGGAGTCCGGGCGCGACATCCACAGGAGAAAGGCGCCATGTCCCACGCTGTTCTCCAGGCCGACGGCCTCGCGCCCCCCTCTGAGCTCCTGAGCCCCGTGAGGATCCTAGCTCTCCACAAAGAGCTTAGACAGAGCATTGGCAGTCATCCCCAGGTCGATAAATCACCGCTGGAGTTATAAATGGAACAGGACCCCTCACTTGCGGGGCCGTTTCAGAGACTCCATAAATATTTGAAGCAGAACCTTCTGAGAGTGCTTTAGGAAATTGGCAGCAATCAGAGCCCTCACTCAGCGGCAAGTGGCGCTGCCTTTGGCTTGGGGGTTTGCGCCGGTGTCAGAGCCCGGGAAAAATATTGAACTGTGCCTTGCAAATTCTGAGGAGTCTGGCAACTGTCAAGGCGGCAAAGGGAGTAGTTACTGCACCCAGACCTGGGGAGTGCTTGTCCCAGGGGCTCTCTGCTGGCACGATCCCCTCCCCCACAGCAAAAATTGACAGTGTCTGGAGACTATTTTTTTTGCTGTAACTGGGAAGCTGCCATTGGCATCTCGAAGGCAGAGGCCGGGAATGCGGCTAACATCCTGTAATGCACAGGACAGTCTCCTAGGACACAGGACGGCTCTCGCGGGTGAGCAGTGCCGGGTCGGGAGCTCCTGATATTGTCAGCCACGGAGACTGGATTTATCTTCCTGCCCTGGGGCCCCTCCCTGTGGTTCATAAGATGTTTCTCTACCCAATGAAATGCTTGACTGAGTGATTACATATTTCAAAGCATTAAAACCAACACAAGCTTTCTAATAAGTCCATTCATTCCGCAAGCCCTTGCTGGCCCCACAGATGCAGGCAAGATGGCGCCGGGCGGGAGTGGTGAGTCAGCCCTGGCCCCGCTGGCGGAAAGCTGCAGAGTGACTCAAGCTCAAGTCACCGCGGCCCATTGTCACAGGGCGGACGCGAGGTGAGCGGAGGGTCAGCGGATTGGTTTTGGGGGGTCATTCAGGAAGGAACAGGCGAGTAGAGGCTCCCCAGGCATGGCCAGTGCGTGGCAGAGGGGCGGCGTGATAGTCAGGGAACAGCACCTGCAAAGGCTCTGAGGCATGAAGCTGAACTGTGGGTGTCAGTAGAGGAGGCGTGTGTAAAGCAACCCCTTGTCAAACCAGCTTTGAGGGGTCACTGCCTCATCCCATCAACACCCCAACCTCTCCCAAGAACAGGATGCACACCCAGTTCCCCTAATGTTGGCATCTCTTACACCCAGCCACAGGGATGAGAGGGGGTGGGTTTATTTTGGGGACAAGTGGGGGGCCATGGAAATGTGACCTCCTGAGCCAGGGGCTTCAGCACCGTGAGCCGCCACCTCCCTGCTAGCCCCGGGGCTGCGTGATGCCAGGAGCCCCTCTAGGGAGGGACTTATGATGGCGCCACCCAGGCATTTGCTTGATACACATTTGGCCCCATGTGAGTGAGGAGGTAGCAGGGGGACAGAGAGGCCCCTGGGAGCCTACAGTCCTGCCCTTGCCTCTGGAAGCCGCCATCCTCATCACTTCCACCGTCTCAGCCAGCACGGCCACCCTCCCCATGCAATCGGGCGGCTGGTCAGAGCCGGTCAGGAAGTTCTGTGCGTGATTGCTTCGCTTGGCTTCGCCACCCTCTTCACCCCTTTATTTTTGGGGACCAACACCTTGAACACTGAGCACACAGTGAAGAGAGGAGGTGATGCTGGTGAAGTTGGGGTGAGCTGCCGGCCAGTCGACGCCAGGGGCCACTTCCGGCCTCCAGGACACCCCGGCCAGGATCAGATACAACGGGATCTTGCGCCTTAAAGCTGCCGCTCCTGCTCCTGCTCACATTCTGGGCCTGGGCAGAAGGCGACCATGGAAAATGCAGTAAAGGAAGCCCCGTCACCTGCAGTGAGCTGACAGTTCCATCAGCAGCACATCCTGAAGCCAGAGACCATGGTCCCTGCACCTGAGCCCCGCCTGGACCCGCCTCACATGCTGTCGCTCCAGCCGGTCTTTGCTCTGCCCGTGGTCTCCGGGGGCACATCTGCAAGGGTGGGTGGCAGACCCCAGCATTTCCCTTGTTGGAGACCCTGGCCCTGGGAAGGGCCTCCCCTGCTGCTCCTCGATGGGGCTGATGTGGCCAGGGCAGCCTCGACAGATGCTCCCGGCAGGGGGTCAGGACCTGCTCAGGTGACTGACCTGGGTCAGGCAGGACCTGGTGTGCAGGGGCTGACTCGGGCAGAACGCCACCATGTGGGATCAGGTCTCTGGAGACCAGCCAGATGGGCCAGCCTGCCGCTCCAGCAGAAGACAATTCATCAACCCGCTGTCAGCAAGCAGCAGCGATGCCTGCTCTTGGGACGGACAGAGCCAGGCGGTGGACGCGCTCCCCAGCACCCCACACGGCCCGCCTGGGCTCTTAGGCAGATCAGATGAGAGGGCTGGCTTGGCAGGTGGCCAGCAGCGGATTGCTAAGCGCAGCCCCCTCCTGCTGCCTGGGTCACTGTCCTCCCTTCTGGGAAGCACTTTCCGTGGTGGCCGAGCATCTGCTCAGCAGATACTTCCCCAGGCACCTGGCGGGGCAGGTGAGAGGCTGAGGGCTGGGTCATAGGGTTCTCCTTCGGGGTCCCCATCCTCCAGCTTCCTGGGGAGCCAGACAGACCAGGGCAAGGACAGGGTGTGGCAGGGAGAGAGGCAGAGTCCAGGGCACAAAGTGGCAGCTGACCAGCAAAGGGTCAGGGAGGGCTTCCTGGAGGAGGCGCTGGCTCAGGGAGCCCTTCTAGGCAGAGGCCACCACACAGATAAAGGCCTGGGGAAAGCCAAGACCTGAAAATGGGGTGGACATACGTGTCCCTCTGCTTCCCAAGCAGAAGGTGCCCAAGGAAAGGTGCCCTGTCCACAGATTGTTGCCTTTTTTCAATTGTTTGCTGTTAAAACCGGTTGTGAAAATGCGTCATGACCAGTTCTTCATACATGTGTGATCACAGCGAGGACGGCTCCCAGAAGAGGGATTGCTGGGTCAAAGCAGAGAAGCACGTGTGGTTTTGGCCACCCGGGCCACGCCCACTCCTGCTGTGTTTTGAGGTTGTACTGTTTCGGCTCCCACTGGCAATGTTTGGGGTCTCTGTTGCCCACAGTGTCCCTAACACCCCTTAGGATGTGTTGGTTTATTTATTTATTTATTTTTAAAGATTTATTTATGCATACAAGAACTGGGGTACAGGCCAGAGATGAGGGGGTGACAGAGTGGGAAACAGAACAGGTGGATCTACTGAAATCCACTGCTGAGGGGAGCAGCGGGCGAGTCAGGAGAGGTCTGCTGTGCCATGTGGGTTGCTCCCTGGTCGGCTGGGGATCGAACTCGTGCTGAGAGGCTGCAGACAGCTTCATAGTGCGGGGCTTAACCCTTTGTGCCACCAGGGAGGCCCAGGATGTGTTGATTTGATTTACCTTCTACAGTTTGAGCTTCCGCAATGGGTGGTTTTAGGCAGTGGACTGGTTGGTGGGGGACGAAACTGATATCGGTTTATCTTCCACTGAATCTCAAGCTCTGGGCCTGGCACACAGGTACTCAGGCCTGTCCCGTGTCATGCGTGCCGCACAGGTTCCCGCCTACTCCAAGGATTTCAAGGGATTGAAAAGACAAATACAAGAAGAAGAATCTGTATTACAGAACATGAACATGGTGACTCAAGCAGTAAGTAAAGAAAGCATAAGAGAGAGAATAATTATTCTGCCAGGCGCTGAGATCATGCCATTGTGACAGTTGGATGGAAAAGTAAGGTCTGAGCTTCCTGGTAGCCAAGTCGAAAGGGGGTAACATGGGTTTCACGGTACTGATTTTCCAAGAAAGGAATCACATCTGGGAAACTCTCCCGCTCTGAGCTCTGTGAGACATCACCCCGGGGGCCTCTGTGTAGTGTCCCCGTGTGTGTGTCCTGAGCACTCACAGGTCTCGGGAGAGGGCGGAGTCTCTGTTCAGAAGCTGCTCTCTGCTCCTCCCCGTGCCAGGGATCCAAACTCGGCTTCAAGAGGTCCTCACAGTTGCTTGGACTGAGACTTTCACTTGCCCTTTGTAAATGAGAATCCTCTGCCAGAGGTTTACTCAGGTGGTGGACACTAAGCTCTCAGAACCAGCACAGGCCTGCCATGCTCCATGCTCCCCATGGGCTCTGCCCATCTCAGCCTGGAGAGTGCCCTTCCCCTCCTCCTCACCCCTGCCCTCCTGCACCCCTCCCCAGCGCGCGCGCACACACACACACACACACACACACACACACACACACACACCATTTCTCTCCCTGCTATCAATCTCAGACAAGTGCTCCCTCTGCCTCCAAGCCCTGGGGCCCAGCTCCCAATGGGACTAGCAGCTCCGTGTGCTTTGCTGGAGGCTCAGAGTGATTTAACAGCTGGAGGCAGGTGTGAGCTGGGGTGGGGAGAGTGGGGGAGGGGCCCTCACTGCCTCCAGCCTACTGCTGCTCCCCACTCCTACCCCATGCCCAGGCCTGGGGTGCCCTGATGTTCGCCTCACACCGGACCAGATCTGAGGTTCAGGCCCCGGCCTGACACCCCAGAGAACACTGGGCGAAGCCTACAGACAGACGCTGCGGTGTGTCGGGGGGCAATAGAGCCCACCCCGAGGTGTGAAGTTCTTGACTTTGGAGCAGGAACAGATTCACGGGGCGCAGAGTGGGTGAGGTTGAAACGGAGCCCTATTGCAAGCGATGGGGCCTCCGGAGAGCGTGTGGGCAGATTCAGGAGAAAACCGGGCCTGGGCCCGAGGCCGCTGACCCAGCTGGGGCCCCGAGCTGGTGCTGGTCAGCTTGCTGTTTAGCAAGACTGGAGGCTAAACCCCGGAGTTCTGAACAAGGAGGGTTTGGGTCATCTTGTCCCGGCCTGGATTTGGGGCGGCTGCAGTGTACCTCGTTCTCTTGGGTGTTTCAGCCCCTTTCACAGTCTTTCGACCTCTCTCTCTCTACCTGCTGGAGGAGAACAAGGAAACAGCGGAATCCACAAGGAGCCCGGTCCCCGGCCCCAGGACCCTCCCTGTCTTGACCCCCGAGAGGCCTTTCGTCCTCTTTATTTCTTGAAAGGGTCAAGGCAGGACGAGCTCCGTCTTCTGTGGCCACTTCCTGCTGGAGGGAGGAGACCCAAGGTCAGAGCCTGTAAGTCAGGCCCGC